TTTTCAGTCTATTTGTTGCCATAGCAACCAGAATTTTCAGCATAGGAAGAAAAGAAAAAGACGTGCATAATCTCCATACTGTCATCTATCCATATATCAAGTTTCATAAAAATATTTCAGTACTTTTTGCGTTATCGCGGGATCCAGATTATGTGTAAAATTTGCCATATTTTCAGTCTATTTGTTGCCATAGCAAACCAGAATTTTCAACATAGGAAGAAAAGAAAAAAGAACGTGCATAATCTCATAACTGCCATCTATCCATATATCAAGTTTCATTAAAATATTTTCAGTACTTTTTGCATTATCGCGGGATCCAGTTTTGTGGACGGACGGACTGACGGACGGACAGACGGACGGACTGACGGACGGACGGACGGACGGACGGAGGGTAAACCTAAAGTCCCCTCCGGTAAACCGGTAGGGGACTAATAAATGACTCTTTCTAGAACTGATCATATGAGATTTTAAACAATTCAAATTCCGACATTTGTGTCACAGATCATCCATATAGTAAGTATGAGTAGTGTATAAATGGATATTTGCTGGAATGGATGAATGCGGTGTTCACCCACAACAGATAACTAAATCACTTTGTTGTTATTTGGATTATGCTCGACTTCTGAATCTTGTAGATGAAAAACCTTGAGGTCATTTTAGCTAGAGGGTGCACTATACATAAACCACTTAAATGTTCTGACAAATTAAAACAATCTACTGATATAAATTCAATATATGCAGTGATAGGTATGTAGATTCCAGGAATGCCAACGAGGCATTGTTACCTGGCCATATAGAACTAAATACAGACTGTGTCCTATAGATCATCAATCCTAAATAAAACACTGTTTTGACTAAATAAAAAGTTCCTTTGGAATATATTCACTATTTACAAATGAATAAAATAATGTTTTTTCAAGGAATGTTGCAATGATAGATACACAAATTATTACTAGCTTGTCCGTAATGCATATTTCTTTGCAAGGAATCCTAGGATGAGGGCTACACACGTGAAACTTGCTTTTATCACCGTGCCCACATTGAAGTACGGACAATATGGACACTGATAAGATCCGCACACGTAACATATGTTCAGATTAAACATGTTGTATGTCGAATAAAGAGTTGTGTTGTGCATACCTGAAAAATTAAGAACAAAGAAATTATAGTAATTGAATATAATTGTAAGTGTTATATTATAACAAGTTTCTGAAAAGAACAATTTCAGAAGTATATCTTTTTGCAGTCTTGATCACTCCTTAGAAAAAATGGTCAACAAAAGTCAAACAAGAGGGCCATGATGGCCCTGAGGTCGCTCACCTGTAATATAGCCCCCCCCCCAACCCCCATCCCCCCCCCCCCAACGTTGCAGGGCCAATTTAAACCCAAGGGCTTTTATTTGCACAAACTTGGTAGACACCATAAGAAGATGTTTCATGCTAAACATCTAAGCTCTAGCTCATTGGGCTTTTTAAAAGAAGATTTTTTTTAAGTTTTTACTATACACATAATTATAGTAAAAAACAATGACACCCCTGGGGCCGGGCCAGTTTTGACTCCAGGGCTTTTATTTGAACAAACTTTGTAGACACTTACTAGAAGATGTTTCATGCTTAATATCTAAACTCTAGCTATTTGGGTTTTTTCAAAGAAGATTTTAAGTTTTTGCTATACACATATAGAGAAAATCAATGACCCCCGGGGCGGGGCCAATTTTGACCCCAGGTCTTTTATTTGAACAAACTTTGTAGACACTCACTAAAAGATGTTTCATGCTTAATATCTTAACTCTAGCTATTTGGGTTTTTTCAAAGAAGATTTTTTAAGTTTTTGCTATACACATATAAGGAAAATCAATGACCCCCGGGGCGGTGCCAATTTTGACCCCAGGGCTTTTATTTGAACAAACTTGGTAGACACCTATTAGAACATGTTTGATACTAAATATCTTAGCCATATCTCTTTGAGTTCTTTAAAAGAAGATTTTTTAAGTTTTTACTATATGCATATAGGGAAAATCAATGACCCCCCCGGGGCGGGGCCATTTTGGACCCCATGGCTTTTATTTGAACAAAGTTGGTAGACACTTATTAGAACATGTTTCATGCTAAATATCTTAGCTCTAACTCTTTTGGTTCTTTAAAAGAAGATTTTTTAAGTTTTTACTATATGCATATAGGGAAAATCAATGACCCCCCGGGGCGGGGCCAATTTTGACCCCAGGGCTTTTATTTGAACAAACTTGGTAGACACCTATTAGAACATGTTTCATGCTAAATATCTTAGCTCTAGCTCTTTGGGTTCTTTAAAAGAAGATTTTTTAAGTTTTTACTATATGCATATAGGGAAAATCAATGACCCCCTGGGGCAGGGCCAATTTTGACCCCAGAGCTTTTATTTGAACAAACTTGGTAGACACTCACTAGAAGATGTTTCATGCCAAATATCTAAGCTCTAGCTCTTATGGTTTTTTAAAAGAAGATATTTAAAGTTTTTTCTTTCGGTTGCCATGGCAACCAGAGTTCTGCATGGAATTAAATTCTTTGAACAATTTTTAAAGGTGACCACCAAAGGAACATTCCTGTGAAGTTTGGATGAAATTGGCTTAGTGGTTTATGAGGAGATGTCATTTAAAGTAAAAGTTTACGGACGGAAGACGGACGGACGACGGACGAAAAGCGATCACAAAAGCTCACCCTGTCACTTTGTGACAGGTGAGCTAAAAACAAATCTGAATTCTTTGCATTTTGTAAGGGTGTATTTCAGCAAGCACTAATTGGGATATGGTCTATGTAACAAGCATATAGCCAGGCCTGTGCATATATAGCAAGTCTTGAGCCAGGGCGGCCTGCACTTTCTCAAAGTCTGACCACACTCAATGCTGCTAACTGCCCAATTTTAGCATTATAATACTGAAATCCATTTAAAAATCTGGAAAAAGGAGATCTAAACAAAATCAAAAAGTTGAAAATCACAGAAGTGCAACATCGTATCAAAATAGTATAAGATTTTTCCTGTTTTCATGCAGAGTTATTAATTTATCAAAAAGCATGTAAAGGGATGATTTTAGATAAACACTTGTGTTACCAAGTTCAAAATAATCAAGTACTATGAGAGTTTTCCTGTTTATATGCAGGGTCATTTATTTATGGAAACCAGGTAAAAGTATGAAATCAGAGGAGCATTGGACTTACCAGGTTCATAATAATCATAGACTCTCATTCTGTGTTGTATGGTCATATTAGCAGTAGGATACCATCTATCTGCCTGGAAGTTTACACATGTCTTACTGTTGTCCACCTGAAAATATTCACAATACATGTACCAAAAATCTAATTTCCATACAAACTTAAACAATAAACTACAGTCGAGACTGCCTTAGCGACCCCCTGATTTAAACGACTCCCTGTCTTATCCGACCTTGTTTCAGTCCTCCCAACGTATTTTCCTATATAAATGGTCTGAATTAAACGACTCCCTGTCATATGTGACAAGCGACTCTAATTGTCAGGTCCCAATGCAATGTTTTGTCTGATTTAAACCGACTTTCACACACCTTTTAATTGTCCGTTAAATCAGATAAATAATACCTATTATAACACCCAGAGGGCCAAAATAATTAAGTCCAATTATAATCCAGTAGCAAACAAAGTCTACACACCTCTATCTCAATTACACAGTTGACATGTATAAATGCAGGTATCAAGTGACGTAGCGTCTGTTTTATGGAAGCATGACGCAATTGATGTGTGTGTTATGTACATTATGGCCTGAGTAAACTGGTTAAGACTTGTGTTAGATTTTTTTTAATTATAGAGTGCCCAAGGAAGATTTTTTAGGCAGCATATTTTTTTATTTACCTTGACTGCATAATTAATACGGAAAAATATTGATACTAAAACCAGAAAAGCTTTGGACATGGATAATGTTGAAAGATCCTGTAACACAATTTTTCATGGTTTTTATTTCATAAATATTATGCTCAAATTAAGATTTGTCAATATTGTAAGTTCAAATAAGCATTATTTATAAATATATCACCCAATTTAACATTTAATATAAATAAAGGCCATTAAAGGGAGGTAATTAGAACTTTATTTTCTATAAATTCTAAGTTAAATTTTCCAATAAGTAATCAATGCATGTAATTTATTGATTAAATATAATGTGCACAAATATTTTCAGTACACATTATACATATTCTTTGATGTTTGAAAGTTGTTTTATTTGAATAATTATGTCCATATATATTTTTTTGCAAGTGTGGACATTCACAAAACATAAAGAATCTTTAAGTCACAATGGTATATAGACAGCTAGATGATACTTAAATTTAATTTTCTTTGAGACTGTATTAAGAGACTCCCTGTCATATGTGACCTTTTTCTGAAGATCCCTGGGAAAGTCACATATGACAGTCTCGACTGTAGTTAAGGTTTGGAAAGTCAGAGATAAAAATTATTTTCTCATGTCACAAGTATAGAGCCATGCCAGTTTGCTAAAACATGCAACCTGAACTGTTAAAGATAAATTTTACTGTTTTGATAATGAAATCAATCTCTTTTTGACACAAATTAAGCAAGGGTTACATAAATGCTCATATATATCATTTTCTTGAATTATTTCCATTTATTTTCAAGTTTTATTCCCCTCTTATTTCATTTAAATAATTAAAACAATAATGAATACAAATTACACTATATTACAAATAAAAATTTTATTTTGAAAATTGGAAAATTTATATTACAAGACAGCCATGATGGCCCTGAATAGCTCACTAGAACCAATTGTCACAAGGATGCTACAGACCAAATTTGAAGTAAATTTTCCCATCAGTTCCAGAGAAGATGAATGTTGACACAGGAGCATCCCTCTTTGATACTAATAGCTCACTCTGAACATTAGGTTCTGGTGAGCTAAAAAACAACAAAAACTTACATGTGAGAAATAGAAAACCACTTTTCTGTAATAGAATTCAGCACGTTTCAGGTTGGGCACGATACCGGAGTTTACATAGTCCCTCAATGTATGATTCATTACCACATAGCCGGTTGGTACATCAATCTCTAGAACTGTAAGTCCTGACTGTAAACTCTTGTCTAAATATACCCACCTATAATATACATGTACAATAGTATAATAAAATAGATGAAGCTTGCTTTTTACATTATTAAGATGTAACAGTATATCTATACATTAGTGCAGTAATGGGTTAACTTATAATATAAATCAATAGGAGTTAACACGTTAGTGCATAAAAGTGACAATATGTAATATTGCAACAATTAGGTTTTAAATAATAAAACCTGCTATGAAAGATTACAGAACCCACAAGCAAGCAAGTCAAAGCCACCTGCTTCGAGTAGCCTGTATAAATAGAAAAGATAATTATCATTCAGAAATTAGAAGGGGTAAAACTTCCAGGAGTTAAATAGATTATTCTTAGCAAATAATACGTCTATTCAAAGATGACCATTCAATATCAAAGAAGTCTTGATAAAGTTGGTTCAACACAACTAGACTTCCCAAATTCTCAACTATAATTAGTCGAAATTGTTGGAAATTTTTATTAACACTACTTACCTAATACACGGGTTCATAACCATCACAGAAGAGTTCCTGCCTGTAAATCTGATATAATCTGATGTCAGCTCAAAGAATTGTGTCTGATCTTGTGTTTCCTTCAACAAGAATCGATATTCTACATTTACTGTGGTTGTCAGCTGCATCATAGATCTACCAACACCCTGGGCCGTCACCCTTATAGACCCATATACAAAATCTTGAGGTACCTGCAAATTAACATTCATATATTGATTGTTTTTGGTTTTTTATAGAGGCATGTAATACATGTGGATATATGAATCTTTATATATGAGATAAATATCATAACTTCTCATTTTGAATTAACTTCCTATGTTTTGTATTATGAAACGTTAGTAGTTTTGAATAGACATATTAATCAGACATAACATGTTGTACATTCTTTTCCATAGTATAGTACCCTAGCTGATAGGGATACTGTTTTCAGTGAAAAACTACTGATAGGCTGTACTACAATTTATATGGTCAGTTGATTGGTCAGTTAATTAGTTGTATATCAGTTAATTGCTTTTAGTTAAAGTCATTCAAGTTTGATTTAGTAACTTACATATCTGATGGCAATGTCAGTGTAATTAGTCTTCGTCATGGCAACAGTTTCTACCCATGTAGGTGTTGATGAGGCCTCCATTGTAATCATCGTCTCAAACACGTTCCTGTTAGGATCTACCTGGGTAAACTCAAAGAGTGCCTCCATAGCTGTCAATGAGTCCTGTTATATATAAAATATATAGTCAACTATACCATTATGAATTATAATGCTCGTCCATATGGTTTTATACTGGCAGTGAGGGTAAATAAACCCAACACACATTATTATGAAGTAAGAAAAAAAAGTATAAACACATTTTGGTGAGACTTCAATGTAGCTAAACCTTAGGATAATATCATATATATTTAACATACATGTACCAACCTAACTGTATTGTACATTAAAAGAAAATTATCTAGTATCAAGTTTACAAATTACAAAAAAAAAATAATCTAAATTTGATTAAACAACTGTAACATCAACAAAAAGAAAACTTAGTAAATCTGGGACAGCAAAATCAATTGCCTGTGTTGCCCAGGTTGTCCCGCAGCCTCAACAAACACATGGAAATTTTCCTTTGCCCTAATTAAAATATAAAGGTTAAGATACCTGTGTGGACGCAAATCCTCCAATGAAATTCCTCATATGGTTGAGCCATTTCATCATGGAATCTCTCTGTATTTTGGTATCTGTGTCGATTCCCATGCCATTATGTTTGATGTGGGCCATGAGAGCGTACGCCGTAGATTGTACAGCGTAACCGTCGTTCATCAATTCTGTCCTTGGTAACAGATATCGTACTGTGTTGATAAAGTCCGAGGGATTCTCTGGCATTGGTGAATCAGAAAAGTAGATTTCATTGGCTGAAAAATAAAGGAAACTAGTTTTATCAGGTACAAGCATAACAAAATGCATCTAATCAATGAACTGTTTATTAAAAAATTAAAAAAAAACCCAACAAAAAACATACCTATGAAACTATGTATAAAAGATTACATTATAAAAGATTAACACAAATTTATTTATAGTTCTGAACTAGAAATGTGTCCATAGGACACGGATGCCCCCATACGCCGCTGTTCTGTCAATGTTATGACTCTAGGTCAAATATTTTTTGGACTAGTCATGTGCCACAAGTTGAAAACTAAAAATCAACAAAGGGCCATAATTCTGTTAAATTTGGTTGCAGCAAAAATTCCTTCCTTTACTACCATCTACACATTAAGGTTGTTCATCCCTGGAAGTTTAAGCAAAATCTGCCATCCGGTTTAAGAGGAGTTGCGTTCACAAAATTTCTATATGGTATATAGTGAAAAAATCAACAAAGGGCCATAATTCTGTTAAATTTGGTTGCAGCAAAAATTCCTTCCTTTACTACCATCTACACATTAAGGTTGTTCATCCCTGGAAGTTTAAGCAAAATCTGCCATCCGGTTTAAGAGGAGTTGCGTTCACAAAATTTCTATATGGTTTATAGTGAAAAAATCAACAAAGGGCCATAATTCTGTTAAATTTGGTGGCAGCATTAATTCCTTCCTTTACTACCATCTACACATTAAGTTTGTTCATCCCTGTAAGTTTAAGCAAAATCTGCCATCCGGTTTAAGAGGAGTTGCGTTCACAAGATTTCGGGACGTACGGACGGACAGACGTACGTACTGACGGATTGACAGACGGACAGACAAGTGCAACGCTATATGCTCCCACTTTGTGGGGGCATAAAAATTAATGTGCTATATAAATTTCTGAATTTAGACAGATTAATAATAACAATATTGCTCTTCATTGGACAATCATTATGTTTATACAGTTTTACATACACGGATGCTTTTAATCTACGAAGAAATCTCACTTTTTTTCTCTAATAAGAAATCTTGCTGTATCATAAATTGTATAATTGCATTATAACAATTCCTGTGATGGTTATGTGGCCATATATAAATGATTATTTGCAATTCAACCATTTATATAGACAAGGCCCTATAACCTGTCAAAAATCTTCATAACTAATAATAAATGTTATTACTTACATTGATTTCTAAGAGACCAGAGTTTATCAAAGATTGTTCTACTCTTCTGCTGACTAAGGGACAAGGCATAAGCTGATACAGCCAGGTGGAATACTTCTCTATTTGGTGTGTTGAATGCCTCTCTTGATAAATATTCCGAGGCAAGTTGTCGTGATTTATCTATACAACTCAGGGCAGCCTGTAACACAATCATATTTGTTTATGTCTTATAACTGTAGTTGGTTAACTTTTTCTATATGCCTTAAATGAACTTGTACCTCTTTAATCTGGACAAAACCAAGTCATTTTTATGGAAAATTTCAAAATAAGTAATGACAAATAGCAAACAGAAGACCCCATGGTCTGCACTGTAGGCATGGGTAGATTTAGTCAGGTTAAACAGTTAAAGAAACTTATTGTCTGATTTCTATACTTAACTCTCAGAAATATAAAATCAAAATTCATTAAGATTGATTCAGAATTGGTAATTTGAACATTTTCTAACCACAAATTTTCAATCTTAATTTGCATTACAACCTATCAGTATTTTTTTTAATTGTGGTTAATAGGAAAAGCATAAATAAAATTCAAATAAGATTTCAATTCTTTGTTATTCTGTTCCATTTACACATTTACAAGAATTAGTTAAGAAAAACAGACTTTTGAGGAACCAAAAAATGAATTATGATAAAATTCACAAACAATATCATTACTGTTAAAGTTACATACCCCGGATACATCAGTCTCTATTTTATACAGGGCAATAAGAACATAAGCTGTCAGTGGTACAGGGTGCCCATACATCATTTGATCTGTCTGCGATTGTGATGACTGAAAAGAAAACAAAATATCAATTATAGTATATGTGAACAAGAGGGCCATGATGGCCCAAAGTCGCTCACCTGTATATAGGCCCCCCGGAGCGGGGCCAGTTTAAACATCAGGGCTTTTATTTGAACAAACTTGGTTGACACCCATTAGAAGATGTTTCATGCTAAACATCTAAGGTCTAGCTTATTGGGTTTTCTAAAGAATTTTTATATATATATATCTATCTCTATATATAAATGTATATATATATATATATATATATATATATATATATATATATATATATATATATATATATATGTATACATATTATGTATATACTATATATATATATATATATATATATATATATATATGTGTGTGTATATATATATATATATATATATATATATATATATATATATATATATATATTTATAATATGTATATATCTAAAAAAAAAGTCGAGCTAATGAATGACCCCAAGGGCCAATTTTGACCCCAGGGCTCTTATTTGAACGAACATGGTAGACATTCATTAGAACATGTTTCATGCTAAATATCTTAGCTCTAGCCCTTTGGGTTCTTTCAAAGAAAGTTTTTACTATATGCATATAGGGAAAATCAATGACCCACTGGGGCGGGGCCAATTTTGACCCCAGGGCTTTTATTTGAACAAACTTGGTAGACACCCATTAGAAGATGTTTTATGCTTAATATCTTAGCTCTAGCTCTTTGGGTTGTTTAAAAGAAGATTTTTTAAGTTTTTACTATATACATATAGGGAAAATCAATGACCCCCAGGGCGGGGCCGATTTTAATTCTAAGAACAAAATTTGAACAACTTTGGTTTTGGATCTATAGATGATACCATAGACAAAATATCAAAGCTCTAGGCCATTTACTTTCAGACCATAAGATTTTTCAAGTTTTCACTATATGTATATAATGAAAATCAATGACCCCCGAGGGCGGGACCAATTTTGACCCTAGGGCCATTATTTGACCAATCTTGATAGAGGTCTACTACACAATGTTTCATGCCAAATATCTAATCTGTAGCCTTTGCCAAATCAGAGAAGAAGATTTTTTTAGATTTACTAAATACATATAAGGAAAAACCTATGACCCCCAGGGCGGGGCCAATTTTGACACTAGGGACAAAATTTGAACAACTTTGGTAGAGGACCCATAGATGATACCATATACCAAAAATCAAAGCTCTAGGCCATTTACTTTCAAACCAGAAGATTTTTTCAAGTTTTCACTATATGTATGTACTGAAAATCAATGACCCCCCAGGGCGGGGCCAATTTTGACCCTAGGGCCATTATTTGAACAATCTTGATAGAGGTCTACTTCACAATGTTTCATGCCAAATATCTAATCTGTAGCCTTTGCCAAATCAGAGAAGAAGATTTTTTTAGATTTACCTATAGACATATAAGGAAAAACCTATGACCCCCCGGGGCGGGGCCAATTTTGACACTAGGGACAAAATTTGAACAACTTTGGTAGAGGACCCATAGATGATACCATATACCAAAAATCAAAGCTCTGGCCCATGTACTTTCAGACAAGAAGATTTTTTTATTTTGTGTTTTTTGAAATCCTTTTTTGGCCCTGTGACCTACATATGCAACAGACCGGAACCATTTGAACAACTTTGAAAGTGGACCACCCAAGGATCATTTCTGCAAAGTTTGGTTGATGTGCAGTCATTGGTTTCAGAGGAGATGTTGTTTATGTGAAAAGTTGACGACGCACGACGACGGACGACGGACACAGGGTGATCACAATAGCTCACCCTGAGCATTGCTCAGGTGAGCTAAAAATGTGCCCTTTGGAAGTATACAGTATAAGTATTAAGAATTAAGTGAAAAAATGTACAATATTTGGATACACCAGAGTACTACTTTATCCATGTGTAAACCAGAATGTGCATAAAATGAAGTGCAGAATATTGATAACTATGTTACATGTTTTATAAATTTTTCATTAAATCTGGAAAAAAATCCAGTTTCACTACATGCTGAAATTGGATGGTGGTTTTTTTATTTATTAAAAAGTGATCAGCACAAGGCAAAGTTTTTGATGTAATGACAACTTCAAACTCTATTACTTTGAAAAGTGTCATAACTTTCCCGATTTTTTATGTTGAATAAGCCAGCAGAGTTTGATTTACCATTAAGAAAGACTTTAACCATCTAAATTGGCTTTAAACTTGCAGGCCCCTTACAACATGAAAACTATGACTTCAGTGTTCAATTTATAATGAATCTACACAAATACAATATTCTATTTATCACATACCCAAAATAATGACTGTTTTAAGCGAAGCAAGAATCATTTTTCATTCATTGACATGCCTAAAGTATAACACTAACATTTAGTGCATCTTTTAGCTATGTTTGTATAACGCTAATGACGTGACATCAAAATATATGCACTGCCGTGCAATACAATGTGGGTATGTAATTAATATAGTAACATATTAATAGTAAAAACTTACAAATTTCCTGTCATAGATTTGACCTTCAGGATACCATGCTCCAGTTTCATTCTGTTTTTCACACAACCAGACGACAATTTTATCGATGAGATCAATAGGAATGAACAAGTCTCTTTCCCACTCGCCAAACCTTGCCTCGTGTAGCGTCTTAGCTACAAAAGCCGACAGCCAGATACTTGTTGAGTTTTCATCGTCCCTGAACATCTTAAATGATCCGTCATCCTTCATATAACTGAGCTGACGCTGGAGACCTGTAATCATAAATTGTATAGTAGAAATAATAGTAGCTTATTTAATACCAGACAAATCATGAAAAAATATAAATATTTGCGAGAAATGACATTGCATATGCAAAAATAAGAATAATTATAGTGAAAGAACATTAGCTTTATTTGTGTTTGTTTTGTTTGTTTTTAGTTTTACGTCACATCAACACAGTATAGGTCATATCGCGATGTTCCAGCTTTACTGGTAGAGGAAGACCTCAGGTGCCCTCCTGTGCATTATTTCAGGCACGAACGGGCACCTCAGTAGAACCACCGACGTTCCGTAAGCTAGCTGGATAGCTTCCTCACTTGAAAGAATTCTGTCAGGATTTGAATCCACAGTGGTGAGGGGCAAGTGGTTTGAAGTCAACGACGTTAACCACTCGGCCATGGACGCGCCCCACATTAGCTTTAAGTTGGGCAGGAAGTTTAACATTATGATACAATGTATTTACTTTTTACATTTTTGATAGAATAATAAGGTAATCAGGTAAATATCCAGATTATCTCCAACAGGTCTATACATACCAATTTCATTGATTTCATATATTCGAATCACATTTTACTTTAACAATAAGAGGTTAATACATATGAGATAAGAAGGTGACAATCCATCCACTAAATGAATACTGGCCCCCAGGGCTTCAGCAGATTATGACGTCCGTCCAGGCCACAAACTCATAACTCGTCACATTACATTATTAATTAGTTGAAATCATGATTAAATTTGTTACTATTTATAGTAACAAGTGTATTGATATAAGATTCTTACCAACATTAAGATAGTCAAGTGCCCGAGACAAGACTTCTGGGTCAAGTTGCTGGTTTGCTTTCTTGAATTTCAAGGTGAGAAGATTGTAGGCGAAGTTAAACATGTTCATTTCACCAGCACCGTACGGCTTACGGAAAATATCCTCACAGTTCATGTAGTACGTTATAAATCCAGGTGTTACAACATCACCTGTTCCAACAAAATAACTATTAGTACTCCGAGAACAGTTATTGTAAACAACAAATTTGAAATAAATGTTTCTTTAAAAACATCAATTTACAGTACAATGTACATTTCATTTACAAATCACAGCTATTTCAATTTGAAATGGATTTGAATCTTATTATGATTTTTAGAATGTTTTAAAATTATAATTATGACTTTTATTAGAAAGTCATCATGTCATCCCAGAGCAAAAACAAACTCTCCAAGTCCTAACAAATGGTTCCCTTTTTTATCTGTAGGTTAGCTAACTTCTTTTTAAAAAACTAGTAAGAACTCAGTGAGTAAAATTTGAGAGTTAAGCAAGTAATTCTGTCACTAATTTGCTCTGAGCCATTAGTCTTTATATTCTCTAATTCTCAAAAGCAAACCTTTAAAATATAAAAATATTGTAACTACATTAGTAAAGAAAAGTAAAATGTATAATTTTTATATTTCCCGAAAATAAATTACAGAAAAATTTTCATACCAAACAGACTGACTTGAGCAACTCCGGAACCCGGTACGTACAGATGATACCTGACCTCCGGTACGACAAACTGATCCGGAATGTTGATCTGTAGCTGTGGAATTGTCTCGGAACCGTACTTAATCATGTCAATGAGGTAGGGCGTGTGGTAGTAGTTCAATACACCATCAGGCTACAGTCATATAAAACAACATTATTATATATATACATACTGTAAAATCATTATTTATGGAGCATTAATTTTCATGACCGAGACTAAAGAAAGGATTGGAGCACCACACTAAATACTGAATCTTGCCTTTTCAACCAACAGAATGAACTTTAAGATGTCTTATTCATCTTTTCACACCAATTTGTATATGATAATGAATGAAAAATATAAGAATAGGCAGAAAAAGAAAGATATATGTCTACTTTGTGATCATGATTTCTGCATCTAGAGGTACTGCTTCAATCCTGTACTGAGTTAAATCGAATTTTCATGGTTTACGTGGATAGGTCAATCCACTAATTTAAGACCCAACAAAATTGCATTTCATCTCCTGCAAGATTTATTTTGCATAACATTATTTACATTTGTCTTTTGGAAAAATCCACAGTCTACAAATTTAAGTACACATGGATATGTTCTTTGTGACAATACCACAGAATTTCATGTCCACGAAATTAAGTGACTTTGAGGTTTTTAAAAGCTTTGTAAGAAAGAGTGGAAAACCTTTTAACTTTGATGACAATGGTACTTTCAATGCACACAATATATGTTAGATATCAATCTGTAACTGAACTTCAGGCATTATGAGAAATAAATGTATTTTAAACTTCAATGTCCTTGACTTTGATAAAGTAGTAATTTAATAAATGATACTGAAGTGTTTGTATTAGGTCATATTTCTAGTAAATGGTGATAGTTTCAACAAACAGATTTATCCTAATTTAGACCCGGCCTCAAGGTTATAAAACCTTTTTCTGAGATCTGTCTCAAATCTCATGATTTTCATTGGTCAGTGTCCATTCTGTGGCAATTTCTGACCAATCAAATGCATGAGGTTTGAGTTTGAGCAGTGAGAATTTCTTTATGACCTCAGACCCTGGTTATTCCTATTCTTTTATAATGAATAATTTGTTATTTTGTTTGCCTTCAATGATAAATCATAGGGAATGCTGACCATTTCTAGTGATTAAACTATGACATTGGCATTATATAAGAACTTACCATAATTCTAACTTTCTTGGTAACAGAATCTCTCTCCATGAAACAGAAGGCATCCACTGTAAACTCTATCTCCCCCTGTACTATAGTGGGAACAATTGGCATAAAAATGTCCTTTGATTCTCCGGGCTCCAACTGAAATGTACCCCATATATATACATGTATATATCAACTTCATGTTGCAAACAATAAATTAATCAAAGAAACTAGAGCTAAGGCCTTGGTTTAAAATTATTAACATGCATACACACACACAAAAAGTCTCCTTGACCTTGGAGACAGATATACAAGACACTTCATCTGTTTACCAGAGTTATACTAAGATATTCTTAAAAATGTTCCTATTGAAGAGATTACTATATCAAATATTTTACAAAACATGAACAACTTACAAAGACAATAGTTTGATGATCACCACTCTTGGTGAGTGGAGCATAGGCGCTAGTTATTCCCATCTCATCTACCCAGACAAACTTATAATTTTCTCCGTCTCTCATAGTCACCAATACCTACAAACATACAAATATTAACATACAAGTTGTTATATCAAAACTGATGTCTCGGAATATTCTTTTCTTCTTTTTAAATTTCAACCAACAATTCGAGTTTGATACAACAGTGAATGGTAAATTTTCTAACTTATTTAATGTAATCATCTAATTCAAACTGTTAACTTCTGGTACATATATTTTAAGAATAACTTTGCTAACAGTTGGTTGTAAGGTCAGACAGCAATTATATTACGAGAATGCCTGTCTGGTTGTGAACCTGTTGCAAATGCAAGTAATTTTAGCCTGTAACATTTACAAGGTTACAATACATTTCAAATAACCATAAAGCAATTTAAGTCAGCATACATTGGACATACTTCTTGTATAAAGTTGTCTTTACTGTTCAGAAAATACATTTTTAACATATTTTCATCTGAAAAAAAAAACAAATACTTTCAGGAATCTATTGAAAAAGTAAAAGAAAAAATACATAAAAGAGGTGACATACCTCGATATAATCATCAGCATACCAATAGTTAAACACAGTAACTCTAACACCTATCTGTTCTCCTCTAATTGTCAGCTCAGGTGCTTCAACGATGATATACATGTATCTTGTAGCATCATACTGTATAACAAGAATACAACCATGATATTCCAACATTATAATACATGGCAAAGACATGATATTAATAAACAATTGCTGAACATAGGAAAGAAGGTTCTTTTACAAAATTTGTTACCTTGATAACGTTACATTATGATTGAGACTTTGAGATTGCCAGTACAGACTGGAATATATAGCTCGAGGGTAATGGGTGGTAATGAGGCTGTGCTGAGCTTCTTTATTTACACAACTATTGTGTACATGATAACAAATTCTAGAACATTATAGTTCTAACCAAAATCTCACAAGTTCAAACCTTGTTAAAAACGTGATAACTACAAAAGTTGGTATATGGTAAATAAGATCTTACTCTGATAGGACTCTGCATGAGACCCAGTCCTTTATCTCTGCTTACAGACAGGGCGTTGATGATCCAGGTAAGTGGAAATTTCGGTGGTTTAATTCGGAACTGTACCATTCCATCTGGTCTGAAAAAAATAGTAATGTCAATAATAATTATTAAGTTTAATTTTGTCACATAAACACAGGAACATACAATAAGGAAAATGTGTTCAGAGTCAAGTTAGGATAAAATAATTGCATTGACACATCACAATAGGCCTAGACTTTGAGACCAATAATAAGTATTACATGTAAAATTTTTAAACCTTTTTTTGTTGGGTTTTACATCGCACTAACACACTAGTATAGGTCATATGGGGACTTTCTACCAGCTTTACTGGCACACACAACCTCAGGTGCCCTTCAGTGCATATAGGCACGAATGGGCACCTGTATAATACCACAAAGACCTTCCATAAGCTAGCTGGTTGGTTTCTTACATGAAAGAATCCAAAGTTCCTATCAGGATTCAAACCCACAGCAGTTAGTGGCAAATGGTTTGAAGTCAAAGACCTTAACCACTTGGTCATGGACGCCTCCTTTTGTAACTAATTTTTCAGTGGATTTTAAATTTCACTGAGGTACAATGTAAAGGTATGATCTTACAGGCTATAATCATGACCAGTGGAAAACCTCCCTTACTAAAACAAGTTACAGTCTGTAAGCACACAATTCTGAAGTCATTTAACATTTGTATTTGTGAGGGCACCCAATTTGTTTTTTGTTACATAAATAATCTGGCTATAGACATGCCTCCTGTTTAATCTCGGCTGAACTTTTTCCAGGATTGGATTCGAAAGTGTTTCAATAAGCTTACAGCTTCCAACACAATCAAACTAAAATAAATTCGAATAAATTAATGACTTACTTTACAAATCTTTCCTGCCAAGCAAAACCACTGTCTTCATAAAACCTGAGATTTCTGTTAACTCTGTAAATCATGTTCATCGTTCTATTGTCAACAAAGCGTGGATCAATCTTGGTACCTGAAATAGTAGATGTACATTACTATTTATTTGTTTTATCGTTCATAAGTTATACTATGTAGATAATAAATTGAAAGACATAAATCTATGAGGTCAGTCTACTATCATATTTCACTATTTCAAAGAATAATTAATGTCCATCTATCCAAATATTACCAAAATCTTCGACAATAAATTTGCATACTTCGTTATTTTTTATCCTGTCATATTGTGTTACTGCAAAATCATTATTTTCACGATTTTCGTGTATAGGTTAATATACAAATTTAAGAGTTAATTTTGTCTGCTGTAAGATAATTTTGCATCACATAATTCACATAATAAACAGTCCATGAATTTAAGAATCTAAAATGTTCTTTGTGACAAAGACACAAAATTTCATACCCACAAAATTAAGTGAATTTACAGTATTTTGACTTACATCCTTGTTCATCTGCACCATCATTAAGACAGTCCATAAAACCATCACATGTCTTGTTGACATGGTAACATGTTCCATCAAAACATGGCCGCTCATACTCCCAGTTACACATATCTGTACACCAAATAAAACAAGAAAAATGAATTATCTAAAACTATTTCCATGCTTTTCCTTCTATAAATTAATAAATGTGTTTTAGGTTTTTTTTTTCCTGATGTGCTTAAATATAATTTTATCAAAATATACAGGTATGTTAAAAAGTGTTTATGATATCTAAAACACAAAGATGGAAAATATTTCTTACACTTTATCTCAATTGGGAAATGTGCTTTAGTAAAACATCTGCACAAATTTCACTAATTAACAGCTAGCGACATATTAAAATCTTTTTATTGTATTGGATTTTATGTTACATCAACACAGTAAAGGTCATATGGCGACCTTCAAACTTTACTGGTGTAGGAACAACTCAGATGCCCTTCCATGCATTTTTTCAGGCACAAACGGGTACCTGAATAGAACCACTGATAATCTGTTCACGAGCTGGATAGCTTCCTAAAATGATAGAATCCAAAGTCCTTGTCAGGATTTGAACTCACAGTGGTTACGAGCAAGTAGTTTGAAGTCAACGACCTTAACCACTTGGCCACGAATGCCCATATTGAAATCATATCTAAATACTCACCTGGTATATCGTGAATATTGGCATCTGACAACACCAGCAAGCCAGCATGCTGTAACATAGAAATCAGGCTTTATGTTTACTACCTGTCTACATTTAGGGGCAACATCAATGCAACAAGTGCAAACCAAGGTCAGTCAGCATAATGTGCTGTTTTTCATGGTCTGCACTGTTCGTTATTCAGTCAGTACATATTTTGAAATTTCTCCTAAAAAGAATGAATGGTTTTGTCTGGATTGAAACATTGGTAAGTCCATTTAAGATATTCTGAGATGTTAAACAAATTAGCTTTTACAACTTACAAATTTCATTAAAACTTAGAATTGTACAAACACCATTAATAATATTGCTACTAGACGTTGAAACTAACTGCTATAAAATCACATATTTAAGCAAAAACAATTAGGTCATATTGTATGTTAATTGAAAAAAAATTGGTAAATTAAAATTTTGCTTACCCTGAATGTTGAGTTTGCATCAATACCATAGCCAGTAGAGGCGTAGAATTTGTACTCGTATTCTGTGTCACTAAGGCGCCACAACTGTTTGTAACTTCCCTTTGCTGGCTCATCATAACTGACCAACTCATCAATCAACTGTAGTGATATATAACATTCACAGTTAACTTAAGATAAATATTTACATAACTATCAGTTCTTACACACAAAAAGTAGTGCTGCTGAATCCCTTTGCTTCATGAAAAACAAGAGCTGTAGATATGACAGTGTGCTCGACTATTCCCAGTGCTTGATAGTAAAACAAGACTTGAAGAGTCTTGAAAATGTAGAGCCATAATTCTGTCAAAACCATGTTAGAGAAATGGGCCTAGAAGAGTGAAACCCTTTTTTGCTTTCAAATACGTGTGAAAAGTTTCAACCCATTCCCTTCAGTAGTTTTGGAGAAACCAACTTGCACACACAAAAACTTAACCAAAGTATGATGGCAGTGGCAACGCCCTAAAAAATTGAATACCATGTTAATTAAGTGATTAAAGTAATAAATAAAACTATCATGATTTCTACAAGGCAAAAACAGCATTTATTCAACTCTAACTGAATTACTTTCTAAATAGTACAATGTTGCCTCATACAAAGTATATGTAAATGTCATACTAAATATATGTTAACAGACTTACATTATTTTCTGTTAGACCATCATTCATTCCTTTACTATACAGATCATTTGGCATGGCAGCAAAAGCAACGTATGATCCTGGCTCGGCTATTGCATTAATCTCTATTGAGTGAAGAGTAAAGTCCTTCCCCTTGTTGATAATTGCTTTTACCTGTAAAATATTTCAATCATGAAATCATAGAAGTCAATCTAAAACATATTTTCTTTTGACACAATAAAAACTGAATTATACTTTAATGAACATTTTAATTTGTAACTGAAAGATGCTAACACATTGAAATATTCTCATTCTGGACAACATTCAAAAGAGCAACCACCAGCTTACAAAGTAACACTACACACTAGACAACTGTGTTAAAGAAGTCATTTGCTGAACAGTTGCCCTATTACTTATCATCAATGATTATTCATTTATTCATCGTAATTTTTATTCTTTAATCAAATCAATAATCACATCACCAATTACAAAACGTATTTTTTTTTATTTATGATTGCCCCATAGCCTTGTATAAAATATAAAGGACACATAATACCGTAATAATTCTATTTAGCGCCCGGGCTTTTATTAGAATCATAGACTTTTCGAAAGTTGGGGATGGGCGTTAATTGGAGACGCATCTTCATAAGACAAACTAATTTTCTAAGCAAGGCTTTATAAATCCACTCGCCCCTCATAACGAATCCGAAGAATGAGCGGATGTTGATTTATAATTGCAGACAACTCTAAAGTCGATTTCGGTATCGTAACGTACCGGCTAAAGTCTGTTCTTTTCCGCACTTTAATACCGTGCATGTAGAGTCCGGTTTCCGAGCACGGGAATAAAAAATGAGCCTCACGCATTTTTACTGCAAAAATATTATGATTTTTCCCAACGAAATATTTATGTAAGGTTACCAATTAACTCTGTAATCTGGGATGTTCTATACAATTCAAAAAGTCAATGGAATATTTTGAGTTCGATCATTATGCATTTTTTACCCGCCAATATAATTGTTAAAAAAAAAGTAAGAATAGTTCTGACCGATTTTACTGACACAAGCATATATGTTCCTAAAGGGATTGATGCGGGATTTTGATATAAAAAGACAATCGTCTATTGTTCAAAATAATTTTAATCAGAACTAATCTCCCATGTTGGACCCCAATACATTGAACCACACACGTTGACCTTGCTGACGTAATGAAATAGGCGCGTGAGTTTTGGCATCTCGGAATGGTTATTTTTTATACATGTATATATATCTTATACACAAAACACATTGAATTATGGCAACACCTATGCTTGTGTCTATAAAATCTGTTATTAAGGGATATCACGTTTACAAATATACATGCCCAGTCGGAACTATACTTCAGTGTAATTTGGAACCAGAAAATGAACATAGTGATAGCGCAATTATCGTAAAAAATAATGGATCTCTTGTTGGACATATACCGGAGGGATTATGTCAGCCTCTTACAAAATTATTCAAAGATGGACTTATTGTAGAAATCAGTGCCGAAATACTTGGAGAACCGCGTTCGTCATCAAAAGGAACTTTTGTAAAAGGTGGTGGCATTGAAATACTGTGTACATATAAACTTTACGGAAAAAAAGACAAGAAAAAGGAAGTTCGTTCCTACGTGAAAACGGAAATAAGGAAACTTGAATTGTAAAGGTAAGCTCAATTGTACTCAAATCGGGGGATGGGCGTTTAAAAGGGGCAGTTAATTTTTCAACTTTGGGCTGAAAAATGGCCGTTTTTTGTCCAAAATATGGGGGTGGGCGTCTATTAGAGGATGGGCGCTAAATAGAATTATTACGGTACATCTACTTAAACCTTGTCAGACCATACAAGCAATAAAATTTGAAATCTTCTACTAAATGTAATGCTATAAATGAAATTTCATTCAAGCTGCTAGTACAAAGGAATATGTGACAATCTGATGAGATGATTACAATATTATTAATTTCTCATTTATTCGAAAAATAAAAACAACAACAACAAGTCCCTGCATGTAAAACTTACAGGATTAGATCTTGTTCCATTAACAAAGAAGTTCAATGTGTCAACAACCATTTCCTCAGGTGACGTCTGCAAAAAGTACACAACAATACGTGCAGTGGGGACCATCTGTCGAGACAACGCCACTGCAAATGTCTTATGACGAGAAATCATTTCCAGCTCTTCTCCGATCAAAATGTTTCCTTGTGACACAATCTGTGATGAAAACATTTGAAATATTTAAACGTTATTATATAAACTAATTAATTAGACATGAAATGACTGTTTATATGTAATTTCTTTTTGATAATTTTATCATTTCAATTTGATATACAGTTTTTCTGACATATACTGGCAATGTCAAGGTCTGAAAGCAAGTTACTAAGCAAACGTTTCTTTATTCAGTACCAGTATTAACCAGCCTTCAACATGGAGCAGCAATCTTCTCAACGTGAATGACATGACTGTAGAATAAAGCACAAATTGTGAAAACATTGATGGAAACAGGGCTTGCACTGTGGAAACTTTCAGTTAATCCATTCTGATGCATCATTATAACAGAAAGAAATCTCTTTTTTTTCCCTTCTTTTTTCAGTTCGGTTATACGTTGTACCAACACAGTATAGGTGTTTCTGGTCGTGGAAGACCTCAGGTGCTCTTCTTTGCATTACTTCAGGCATGAACAGGCACCTCAGTAGAACCACTGATGTTCCGTAAGCTAGCTGGATAGCTCCCTCACATAATAGAATCTTAAGTCCCTTTTAGGATTTGCACCTACAGCAGTGAGTGGCAAGTGGTAGAAGTCAACAACATTAACTACTTGGCCATGGACACCACTGGATATCAACACAAACCATCTTACCTGATAGTAAATCATGGGAACAAAATGACTGGTTTTCACATGGAAAATCATAAACTCGTTCACGTTTGGAGTATCTGTTGATGTACGAACAGAGATATAACTTCTGCTGGGGGAATAATATCGTGAAGCTTTCAATGTCTGTGTTGTTCTGATATCATAGTCCCACTTGGCCTGAAATATAACATTTAACAAAATGCTTATTTACGTACAAGCTGATTCAATTTGGGCAAAATTTGTATCAATACAAGTTGATAATTTGCTTAAAAACTTTTTTGGTTGCATTTTCAGTTGTAAAATTGTTATGGTGATAGCCCTCCCAGTGTTTATTAAATAAAGAGGCAAACTTCAAAAGTAATTTGAATATGAGCGAGGCAATGAAAGCATACACAATTTAATCTACTACAAAAATCAAACATCTACTGGGATAAGGTATATATTTTTTGTTGCAATTTCAAGTGACACCAACACTGTTTAGGTCATACGGCAAATTTCAAGCTTAACTGGTGGAGGAAGATTGAAGGTCCCTCCATGCATTTTTCTAGTAATCACCAGGCACCCAAGTAGAACCACTAACCTTCCATCAGCTTGCTGGATTCATCACATGCAAAATTCATAGCCCCTGGCAAGAGTCAACACAACATCGGTGAGAAGCACAGATTGAAAAGCCATGTATTGCCGGAGAAAAGCTATAATTATACTCACAATAACTTCAACAGAAGAACATCCAGCAGGGATGGGTACATCAAACGCGGCAACACCATCTACAGGTTGCTTTTCATCAGGATTATTCTCTACACCGCCAGTTACTCCCCCATCTAAATAACTGTAACGTTTTGTGATTTGAATTCTTCGATAATTATCGACTACTGGTGTTCCATCGTAATACATAGCTGCAACCTTAATAAAGAACAAAAAATAGAGGATATTGAATTAGGGTAGATTTAATGCTAAAGGCAGAGGATGGCATATCATTTTTATTCAACTGGTTCAATAAATTTAGTGATGAATGTGATATTATATTTATAACATATCCAAATATAGTAACTGTTTACAACTAAAGAGTCATTTATCAATGACGCGCCGATAGTGAAACTTAACATTAGCGCCTTTAAAGCTATGTTTGTATATTTAGCAAATGAGGTCACCTCAAAATTTTATTACACAAGTGTAATATTGCTTTTATCAAATGGCTTTATTATACTCCTGTGCCTTGGTTAATGTGACAAATTCTTTTTAATATAATATTAACTATCTAAAATCATTATACCATTGGCTACTGAAGCCAAATACTAAAATTTAAAGAAATTCAGTAGTATCCTTTTAAATAATTCTTTTAAATCTAAGCAATATTTTCTGATGCTTTAAATTTCAATTTCTCTATCTTTATTTTTAGTGAATCTTTGTTTATTGATTTATATTAATATAGCTTGATAAAAACAATCCTGAAGATGTGGTGCAAAATACTTCTGGAAATAATGTCAATATTATACTTAACGAATAAATGCTACACTGGTCAATAGAAAATTAATATAACCATGTTACTCTTTTCTTCTTACTCTCATATCTTTCTGTACTGAACAGAAATCGTTTACAGTCACATGTATTTGATTATTAATTGATTATAAATCAATTTCATATATAAATTTTATGTTATTGATTAATAATCAATTACACTGATGACTCTGTAATGGAATACTTTCAATTTCTTTGGCAAAAGTAATCATGTTATTGAAGTGGGTATTTCAATTTTTTTTTGTAGACAAGCAGAGCTTATGAAAAGCTTGAGAACCCAGTGCTTTCATACACTTAGTTTATTTAAGACATACCTTTAAAATCTTATTATTCACTTAATAAGTTAATACAGAGCACTATGTCATAGACAATATAATCTTAAAGACCAACTTAACTAAGACATACCTGTAAATTTGTAATATTATTCACTTAATTAGTTAATATTGACACAGACAATATAATCTTAAAGACCAACTTACGTAGACCGTCATTATGGAGTCTGGTTTAAATGTCCGCACATTGTCTCCTATAAACATGACCCTGATGTTTGGATTGAAGATAACCGTGCTGGCGAAACCTTTCTGTGTCATGTTAAAGAACCAGTCCTTTGCTGTTACGTTAAAAACACACTCGTATCCGATCAAGTTATCGGCAGACGGCCATGTCCGTCGTACCTCGTCCAATATGTCTTGTCTTTTGAACTCAAAATCAATCCTCCCTTTAAACTGAAATATAAACAGCAAGTTATATGCTTGTGTTAACATCATTTGAAGGTCAAACTTTTATTTTCATTTAATTTGAAATTTAACCCTGAACCTGCATGCAGGAGCAAAACTAGGTAAGCCTTTGCCACCAATATAGAGTATCTAGCCTGCACCTCTTATGCAGTCTGAACAGGCTCTATACTACTGCTAGCTCTACTTAATAATATTTGAGCCGCGTCACGACAAAACCAACATAATGGGTTTGCGACCAGCATGGATCCAGACCAGCCTGCGCATCCGCGCAGTCTAATCAGGATCCATGCTGTTCACTATCGGTTTCTCTACTTGCTATAGGGTTTGTAAGCGTACAGCATGGATCCTGATCAGACTGCGCGGAAGTGCAGGCTGGTCTGGATCCATGCTGGTCGCAAACGCATTATGTTGGTTTTGTCGTGACACGGCTTGTTTGTATTTTGACTTCAAATGGTCTGTTCCAAATTCAAGGGTGGGTGGGGCTTGATAGTGCAAATTATTAAACAAATTTAACAGGTTAAGGGTTAATATTACTTTTTTCAGAGACCCTGTCAAAAAGACCAATGTCTCAAAGTTAACAGATAGGTCTGACAATACATGAAATAAATTTACTTTTGAAAAATGAATCATTTTGCATCATTATTAGAACAGTGATTTTCCCCCTGTATTACAGCTGAACAAAGGATGTTTTCTCTAGCCCAAAATAGGTATATTATATATATATAGGTATAGGTATATTTTCACCTAAAATTTTCGTTTTTTTTTCCTGAATTGCCCTGTGCACACTCTTAACCAGAACCATGACTTTACAGCAGCTGACATACAACAGCTTGTTGATAAATCTAACTGACCGAAAGCTGACCCTTATAAATAGCCTCTGCTATAAAACATGCATGTTAACTATTGTTGAAATTGATTTTTTTTATAAAATGTATTTGTAAATTCCATTCTTAGTTGTTGGAATTTGGTTTCAGGTTTTCCCTATTTTCTGATTTATGGTTCTCTATTTTCCCATTCAGAAAGTAACGAGTTATTTTGAAAAATTGAAAAAAAAATCACTGATTATATATTATCATTTTTATAGCATAAAATTTATTGTCACTTAGGAAGACTAAAATACATTTTTTTAGAAGGGTAAACATGAATTCTTACATAATCGTAGTGCTTGTATAGACGTGGGTATATACTAAAGTCCCAGGGATCTCTGTATGCATTCATGGCATAAAACTGATCATAAGGGTACACATCTCTTGGTGGAATCAAAGTTATCTGGACATCAGCTGATCCCATAACTGGCTTTCCTGTTGTTATACTGTAAATATAATAAAAACATGTTAATTTGCTAACTGCTTAAAGTGACATTAGGCTCAGTTTTTCATTGTTTTATAGGTTCAGTTGAATTGATTATATATTTCAAAACATTGACTGTTATAATGGTGATTGCCCAGTACTTGACATTGAAAAATGTAAGATAGACCTAAGTTATAAATCAGTGCATTATTCAGTCCTAAAAAGGACACCAAGGTAAACTTAAATTAAAATTCAGTGCATTATGCTGTCCTGAAAGGACACGCAGGCAGAACTGTCCACATTCTAACTGGACAACAATCCTACACATCAGAACTGACTACTAGATAAGTTAGACTGACAAGAGATGAAAGAAAAAAATATTGGTTCAGAGTTAGAGATATTAATCTCATTCTCAAAAACAGCATGAAAACAATATAATCAACAAATCTTCATACTTTGCCATCAAAACTCCTCTAACATGGTCCATGTTGTCCATAACATACGGATGTGTGGTTACGTTCAAATCAAAACGTGGGTCCCCTGTAAAATATAAATAATATCATAATAACTTCATGATGAAGAGGAAAGTAATAAATAAACATTATATATAAAACTTTAGTTGACAGAACTTGAGCATCTATGAAAATGATTCTTAAACTCCACCGGCATCCTAAAGCCTAAACACATAAAATTTGAATACCTAATGTAGAATAGATCAACATAACAACTTATGCACAACTTCAATATAATAAAGAAATAAACACAGAATTAAATGAAAAAAACAACAACAACATATTTTTGTACTATTCCTAGCTTGATTTAAGTTAAGAGCATGTATTTTTTTTATTTTTTTCATGTCAATAAAAATAATTATTTAGGAAAAAAGAGTGAGCAAATGATTGTTCAATTTTGCATACACTGTATGGGTTGAGATCAACATCAAATGGTCATTATCACGTTCTACCATACCTCTGTCTAAATGAGGACCTACTTATTTTCTTGTCTTTGATGAATAAAGAACCCATTTATAAGTATCAAACTGGACTTTTTCTTTCACTTCTCCAAGTAGGAACAATAAAGCTTAATCAAACAAAAAAGTCTACATAAATATACTTACAATATTCTTCAACTTGGAAATATTTTTTGTATTCATAACCCTGAAATTAAACATACAAGCAAAATTTTCAACAAAACAATTTTAAGTTTGAAACATAAAGTTTGAATAATATCATTTTCAGTGTTCTAACAATCTTTGGTTCAATTCAATTTCTGGCTTTAAAAATTTCCTTACCATAAGGAACAACTACTTTATATTAAATTGCTTTTTAAGGCATTGGCTTTTTATGCTTTGACAATAGTAAAATATCATTCCTCACACTGAACCTGCCTATTGTGTACATAACCTTTTTTGTACATAAATTTCATAATGATCAATTAGAGTTAATCTTTCTCATTGCCGGATATATACTTTAATTCTCCGTTACAATGGCAATGACTCAGTATGGGGCAGACCATAAGATTACAGACTTAAAGGTTTGCTATTTAGTTCTTTTCCAACACAAAGCATGTATGTTTTGATTAACACTAAATATGTTTAACATTATTAATTTGTACTAAATTGCAATTTAAACAGATTTATGAGAAGAAGTTGACAATTATTTGCAGATTCACCTGTTATTACAGGTACACAATCCAGGTAATCTTGTTAGTGACCTGACTACTGTTCTATGACTAAACTTTAGTTAAAATCTGGCTCTCAATTGATCAAGACAAAAAATATTCAGTAACTTAATTGAGTAAATAAAAAAAGAGTCCTGACACAAAATAAAATATATTATAAAAGACTTACATATGCATCAACCTGTATTGACCAATTACCATAGTTTGGCTGGTCTGATAATGAGAAATTTTGGCTGACAAAACCACCAGCATTAGTCTGAAGACCAAGCCATCGTCTAACAGGGAAGCCAGTTGGATCCTGTATAACAAGTATAACATGAATTATAATACTGCATGTTTGAAACGTCCCTTTTTATTGGATAATTGTGACGTTTATATAGTTTTATATACACTGCTGCTGTCAATTTTCTTAGAAATCTCACTGTATTATAAATTTGTTATGTATATTCCCGACAGTTTAAATGACTGTATATAAATGGTTGTTGAGCTGTTTTTCTAAACTGCCATTTTTATAGAGCTATATAATCTGTCAAAAACTAATTTTATACAATAATCATATTTTTCTGTTTGGTTCAAGATACATACAAATTTTATAGGTAATATTATCGCTATGTTCAGGCTTTACCCTTGTTATCCCCCTTGAATTAAATCATGAAAAAAAATCAAACATTTGTAAGCTACAAGCCTATGTGAGAAGTTAATTTTAATATATTTCAAGTTTCAGTTACATATTCTGATGCTGACAAGGATGTCATTATAATACTTGCAGAGTACTTAGTTCTGTTTTTTTTGTTTTGTTTTTTTTTAAAAATGGAGTTAAGATATACTTACCTTTACATCCAAAATGTGAAGTTTCAAACAATACAGATAAAAATAGTGGGGGAAAAATGAAGTGATGCCTCTTCTGATTTACATTGTAATTATTTATTAGCACAACTATTATAATAATTGAAGAAAAATTATATTTACCTTTACATATATTGTTAAACTACCATACATTGGCATCATATCTGGAAGAATTGGTACTACCCGGAAATGTACTGAAAAATTAAGCATAAAAACAAAATGAAAAATATATTTATCATCTGTCTTTTACTTTGCCTCATAAATTGAATAATTTTCAAAGGATGCATCACACAAAACTATACGTCTACAAAAAGGATATAAGATTACAAATAAGTAAATAATAATGACCCAACACTTAACTTGCTATAATAATGACCCAACACTTAACTTGCTAACCAGGGAAGTTGTAAAACACTTTGACTGTGACATATTTGGAATTTACTGTATGTTCACCACTTTAAAATGTGTCTTAGTATTCAGCTAAGTAACTAAACAAAATTGTAGTAAAAAACAACAACAACAACAACAATCAAACTACTATTCTTTTTTTTTTCATTTATAAAAAGTCCGTATAAATGCAACTCATCAAACATTCATCACAATTTTGTGGCCATAAACACAGCTCTACGCTACTTTTACACTCCATTCAACTTTGCAATGTTTACATACAAATCCCCTAAGCGAATGATTTTAAAAACATAACAAGTTAGTCAAGTTAGAAAAAAGGCTACCTAAGAAATAAGAATAATAGTAATAATATTAACCTGTCTGTCCCTGTTTGTAGATCGGTTTACTCAGCTGTATGAATACAGATGCTTGTTTCGCATCAAAATCTATCTTTGTTTCATTGTAAAACGCGTAACCACCTTCCCCTCCATTTAACATCCCTTCGATTTTGATTGTGTAACTACCAGGTTGTGCATTAGCAGGCATCTAAAAATAATATAATTACAAATATGATCACTGTCCTTGAATTTATGAGATTTTGAAGAAAATAATGAATCAGTATAATCATAATTAATACGAAGAAATTATCTGTAAAAGTAATAAAATGTAATCTAAAGGTTACCAATAATCGTTTGAAATATAAGGTTGTTGTTTAGTTCAAATTTAATTTTTGTAGCAGATTATCCGTTCTGGAGTTTGGGAAACCTGTTGCTTAGCAACAAAACACTTACAAGCATTTGCATGATTCTGCTTCCTGGTTGATCAAATTTAAGTACACCTTCTGTAAATTCTGTGCTGTCTTTATTAACAGAAACACGAAGACTAATTTCACTATATTCTAGACGTAAAATAGTGCAGTACACTTGGAAAACCTGGTTTGGTCGTATTTTTCTTGGTGCCATTATAATGTATGTTCTGAAAATAATTAGAAAAATTTAACAATATTCAAGACAAGTGGCAAAGGAATAATAATATATTGTGCGAAATCAGATAAATATACTACCAGAGTGAAATCAACGGAATCAGTTAATACAATATTAGTGATATCAGTGGAAAATCAGATTGGTATGGATAACTTTAGATTGATATCAATGAAATAAAGAAAGATATCCAATTAAATATTTCTAATTCTAGAAAAGACAATGTTATTAAACCACACCAAAGAATTTTTATTTAAGATATAGTCTTAGGATATTGACTGACTGTAGGTTTCAGGGATCATTCTAAGGGGCAATTTCCGCGATTTTTCGCAAAAAAATCACCAAAATCTCAGAGAAATTTGTGAAATGAGAGAAAATATCGCACGGCAATTTGAGCCGGAAAATGTCTAATCAAAATCTAAAGAATGCTAAAATTACACAAAAATATGATTAAAAATTCACGATTCCCATCAAGAATTTAATTTCAAATTGTTTATTAATGAAATCGGTGTAAAAAAAAACCTCCAAAAAGTAGTCCAACACTTTGAATTATTTAGCCTAAAATAATTGCCGATCAGAGACCGCAAATTCACCGTACAGAAATACGGTATGATGACTAACCTTTATCTATCTGTAAGTCGAGAATTTACACAAAACACTTTTAATTGATTTTAATAAAAATTGTTAGACACAAAATAACATAACAAGAGCTGTCCGTAAGACAGCGCGCTCGACTTTTTTATTGCTTGCCAATAAAAAAAGTTTTTGCAGTAAAAGGCAATACAAGAATCTCTGTATTTTTAAAGTGAACAATGGCCATGAGCATTAAGATATTTAGTGAAGAATTATTTTATTATGACATAATTTATGGTAAAGTGAACAAGTGGATAGGAATGAATTTTTTTAGATTTTTTAAGTTTTTTAGTGCTTGCCTATAATACAAAACATTGACAGTTAAGGGCCATAATTCAAATAAAATCTTTGACAGAATTACCTTCTCCTGGACATGTTTGGGAATCATGATTGTAAACAAGTATTCCAACTTTCAAATTAATATCTCAAACAGTTCAGTCAAAAAGTGGACTGGTACTAAAAACTTAACCAAGATTCTAAGTCGATAAAAGGCCTAATTTTTAAACAAATCCTTGACAGAGTTACCTTCTCTTGCGTACAGATGGGGTAATGATGTGAAATAGCATTAAAAGTTTCAAAGCAATATCTCAAAGGGTTAAGGCAATAAGTGGATTTTACCCATATTCAATGTATTTTCTAAGTCAAAAGGGGCATAATTCTGTCAAAAACCTTGACAGAGTTATGTCCTCTTGTCTGTTGATGAAGGTCGTGATGGTAAACAAGTATGGTCAGTTTCAAAGCAATACCTCCAATGGTTTTGAAATAAAGTGAGGTGGTACAAAAAACTTAACCAAGCTCAATACACTTTCTAAGTCAAAAAAGGGCCATAATTCTGTCAAAAACCTTGACAGAGTTATGTACTCTTGTCTGTAGATGGAGGTTATGATGGTGAACAAGTATGGTAAGTTTCAAAGCCATACTTGTAATACTTCTGAAATAAAGTGGGGTGGTACGAAAAACTTAACCAAGGTGTGACGCCGACGCCGACGCCGACGCGAGTAGGATAGCTCCCCTTTTCATAGAAAAGTCGAGCTAAAAATGGACATGTCAAAAACAAATACCGGTAAAATGTGTCTTCTAAATGTCACAACAACCACGGTAAATTTTGCCGTAAAGAACAAATTAAAAAATTTTGTTTTACGATTCCTGATGAAATAGCTGATAATAAATATTCTTTTATTGAACAAAAATATTTAATTTTATATAATTGCAATCAGCAACAGCTAGAATTGTGAATGTTTCAGCAGAAAACAGACAAATATTCATTTGTCACATATTTTCGCGATGCCTTGATAAAAAAAATACTAAAAGGAAGCTGAGTGTTATTTAAAGGTGTTTTATAACACTAAAAATGATGTTTATGAATAAAAATTACTTTAGGTATTGTTTATATTTGTGGATATGGAGATTTTTGTCATTATGTGTTCAGGTCACATATTCAATGAATATTTTTAAATGGAGGGAGGTGTGTGAATAGAATCATAAAGAAAACAAAATGTAAGGTTATAAAAAATATTCTTCAAATCTCAACAATCACTTCTGTACAGTACAGTGTTGTCCATTAGGAACATTGGCTGCAAATAATAGTTGTAGTAGATATCCATGTATAATTCTTTTATATTTCAGAATAAAGGTGTTAAATTTATTTTTCACAATTAGAATTTTATTATGTTTAAAAATTCACAAAAGAAAAGGCATAGGATGTGTTAAAAAGTGAAAACAAGAAACACTGTAATAAACAGAGCTACATCTTCTTATATCCTCATTAGATAAACAATGTTTATATGTACAGTGATTTTAAAAAGTTAGAAATTTCCATATTTTTAACCTCGCCCATCATGAAAATTAAATCTCTCAAGAAAATATAATTTCTCTCATTAAAATTTCTCAAATGAGAGAAAATCTCTCATTAAAAATCCTGACCAGAATGATCCCTGGGTTTAATACTAAATTTATTGAACAAGTTGAAAAAAATCATATTATGCGAGCCTCAGGCAAACATAAAATTGTTTTATTCAACAAGTTCAATAAATTTAGTATTGCATCACAAGGATATATTGTTCTACTCATCGCATATTCAAAATAAAGACTGCTTCAAGTGCAGAAGAATCATTTTTCATTGATGATCTTTATAAATAATGTAACACTAACATTTAGGGCATCTTTACACTATGTTTGTATAATGTAAATGACGTCAAAATATATATGCACGGCCGGGCAATACCATTTTTTATTTTTTACAAAGTTGCAAAATTGGCACAGGTATATATGATAAAAAATGTTACATACGGTGCTCTCTCCACCTGGTAGCCACCAACATTGTTGACAATTTCATCTCTAGTCTGTGCTGCTGCGAAGCCCCAGATAAGAGCTAGGGTTAACCCTAGTAGGCAAAGTTTCGTCATGATCTTAACTACATCCACATCTGAACTGTATGGTAAGAATAGTATCTGAAATATAATCCAAATTTAGAGAAATCTGTACAGCATGTGAACATAGGAATTATATGATTATATATATTTTAGGGAAAAGAGTCAACTCGGCCCTATACCAACTTGGCACGGGTCAACTCGGCCCACTTTAAAAAAATATATTTAACGTAGTAATATTAAAAAAAATATCAAACAAAAACATGTTTACTTAATATCATAATTAAGCTTCTAATTAATTGCAGGTGGTCACTAATCAATTTTAAATGAATGCGTCAATCATAATTATCACCTAATTAATCGGTATCCTTACGAACACACTGATTGATAATAATAGCCTGTGACAATAAGAGTCCCTTTAATGTCTTTAACCAATTTCATTTAATTTGTTTGTAATTGTCAAAAGCTGAAAATTAAGTCCGTGTATTATACATAATTACAAATATTACAAAAAATAGTGATTACACAAACCTAAATATAAATAATTGAAAAGTGGGCCGAGTTGACCCGTGCCGAGTTGGTATAGGGCCGAGCTGACTCGGGGGCCGAGTACGTTTTAGGGCCGAGCTGACCCGGAATCTATTTTAGTGTTTACTTACTTGTACATAGGGGTTATTTTTAGTCATTATGATCTTAAACAATGTTATCATAATTGCCATTTTATTTGTATGACCCTGATGCTACGTTTACACAGGATGCTATGTTTGCCAAATAGCACACGTAAATGATGTAAGGGGAGCGGTGGCCAAGTGGTTAAGGTGTCTGCTTCTCAACCCAGGGATCATAGGTTCGAGCCCTAAACAGGTCACGACCATGTTTCTTCATATGACACAAGAACTGTTTGGTTTCAGGAAGCGGACTCGAAAGTGATTAAATGAAGTTGCAAGAAATAAATTGTTTTTCGCAATCGAGCTTAAATAAAGGAATTATTTTTCATTATGTTTGAACAAAATGATGTCTGTTGGGACACATGTAACAGTGGGAATTACTTAACTTATTATGGTTTATTTCACTAAAATAAATTTGGTAGGAAATACAGTATATTTACAAAAGAGTGAGAAAATACAATTTAAATAAAATTTAGTGGGAAATTGCATGATTTTATCAAAATTTTACCTGGTGTAGATGCCTTTACATGGTACATAAACATGTACAACGTTAAATGTTCAATGTTAAGATTGAACTATTTCATTAGCATAATGTTTTAAAGAAAATGAATCGTAATTTACAATTTTTTGTAAACACTTCCGCTATTTTTAATCCGCCATTTTAATTTTGAAAATATCAACAAGGTAAACATCTTACCTGTCAGGTGTTGCTACTAAGTGATAGTCATTTAAATATATGCAAGATGTTCAAATTGACTATTTACTTTAAACTAACAAAGTTTAGAAAATTGTTTTAAGAAGATCAATGACTATTTAGAATTATAAAAAAATACCTGTACGATGACTCTCACCTGAGACTGGTTACAATTTCATACATAGATATGGATAAAGTGCGAAACTTTTTAATTCGCGAAACGTTTCCTTTCCGTTGCTGCTTAGATTGTCGATATTAAAGTTGTAACAGGGATATTAATATATGCATGTATGTATACATCCCTTAAATTCTAGTAGATTTTGTTCTTGCAGGTTTTATAAATTTAAATACAATTTGCAAAAGTAAATTCCGTAATTACTGACAAAATAAAGAAAAATTGTCTTATCTATAAGAACAAAAAGTATATTTATATGTACAAAAAGGAATATGACATTTACTTATATATTGTCACAAACGTAATCAATTATATTTATACATTATATATTTATTATCAATTATAATAATGACCAATACATGAAAATATTTCTATTGTTTATTTGTTGTTGTTTTGTGTGTGTGTGTGTGTTTTTTTTTTCGAATTGAATGTTTTCCCCACTAAAAAAATATTTCTAGATATTGTCACAGATATACATACAACATCAAGCTCCATGATATTGTAATTTAATTCTCTTTACACCCAACCAGGATCAAGTAACAAAATGAGAAAGGTCTTATTTGTGCTATTTTTATTATAAATATCTCCAAAACACATTGATAAAATTATATAAAAGCAGGGACAAAAAAAATCCCAAATAAAAGGTATTTTATAAGTTATAAAAGTAATTTTGTTGTGAACTTTAATAAAATTAATGTTTTATGTTTAACATAGGTTTTAATGATTACTTATAATGCAAGTAAAAATTGAAGTACATATCTAATATATTCTTGGATGTTTGGAAACTGTTTTAGAAGAATAATCATATATACATATATGCATTTTTACTTTAGGGTGGACAACATATACAGGATCTTTCAGCAGAATACAAAATTTAACATGAAAGGTATACTTTTGAATTCAGAAACACACGCAGATATGTTCATGAATACGGCAGAATCATGGAAGCTTTGATGTGACACGTGTGTGCCTTTCCATGAAATGAAAGCAGTGTATGGTTCCCAATTAAACAATGCATGTGCCCTCAACAAGAGCACATGTGTTTAATGAAATTAAACGGAGATTTAAAAGGGAATTGGAGGTTCCTTCATGTCAAAGACAAAATTTTATAAAGTAGGCAATTGTCACATGAACAAGATACATGTATTGGCCCCAATTTTCAAACATGCACAATTTTCGGCTGTTGCATTACTTTTGTCAAAATCTTTCACCCATATGTCACCCCCAGGAAACCATGTTCTGTATCCGCCCCTGCAAAAAATGAAACATTATATCAATATAAAATGATAATATAGATTTAGTATTGTTCATCAATAAAGAATTACATACAATTCACATTGATCAGTATAAAGGAAAATGAGCTTTCACATGAAATTGCACTCTCTCAACAAACTTTATACACGATATTCAATTGGCATAAACCAGTAAATTTCAAAGGGAGCAACAAATTGTTTCAACTTACATGTACATAAATTATGCGAAAGAAAATCATAAGCTGATAAGAGCCTAAATAACAAGAAGCAGGAAATGATAGCAAAATAAAGCTGGTAGCAAGAAAACGCCAATAACAACAAATTAAGAACAGTTAAGCTACAATGAATGCATTTTTTCATCCATATACGATCGTTATGCCTTCTTTTTTCTCTGCTCTAGCTCAGCAGGACAATCTGTTCTCTACACCTCCCTTGCTGTGTAGATATTCTAGTAAACAATTTATATAATTAAACACCATCTATTATTTTAAATGTTGGCTTCTGTTAAAACTCTAACCGGTGCTAGGGACGTTGACCGTATCTGACATTATCTATAGAGAATAACGGAATCACTAAAAAAAACACCCAATAATGCTAAATTGAGCACCGGTTTCAAGCAGTATGTTTCCAGATTTTTGATGAAAATTTTGAAAATGTATTTAAAAGTAAAATATTGTAAAGTGAACAAAGAAAGTAATTTACACATTGCAAACGGCATTTACAGTCCAAGTAACCAAGAAGAATTAACCTTACTGTGTTATTCATGCAGTAGACATGAAATATGGTGATATATATTGCAAAATCAGCCATAATGCTTCCGGATCAGACTGTTTATTAAATGAATATTAAATATCATCCATAGATATTTTATGTGGACATATATGTGATTTATTTAATATTATTTTAGAGTCAGGTTTTTTTTCCAGATAAATGGACAGACGGTGCATGTTATTGTGCCTGTGTTCAAAAAGGGTGACTCAGGTGACGTAAAAAAAATGCAGGGGAATTACTCTCCTAAGTTGTTTATCTAAACTTTTTACCACTGTATTAAATACTAGAATTAAAAATTTTTGTTCAAACAATTGCATTATATCAGACTGTCAATTTGGTTTCAGGAAAGGAAAATCAACTATAGATGCCATATTTATTTTACGAAATGTAAATCAACACTATCTTAATAATAATAAAAGGTTATATATATGTAGGGTTTATTGATTTAAAATCTTGTTTTCAATTCTGCCGTGTTGGGCTTTCTTTAGGGATTCTTATTTCTCTCTGTTTGATAGCATATGTAGAAACTCGCTTTGGTTGAAAATGTATAAGTGTGGCATTCAAAGTAAAATATTGTGAATCATTAGAGATATATATAATAAAGTTAAGTCATGTGTAAGATGTTGTAATTGTTATTCTGATTTCTTTAAGTATGCCGTGGGCTTAAGACAAGGGGAGGTAATTTCACCGATACTTTTCTCCATTTTTGTAGAGGATTTAGAGTTACAATTACAAAGCAACATAAGTTCTGGTTTGTTATATGACGATATTATTTTGATCTTGTTACTTTTTGCAGATGATATGGCTATTATAGGCAAAAGCCTGGATGATTTACAAAATAGCCTTGATTTATTGTATACTTATTGTATAGAATGGGGATTAGTGAAAAAACCAAGATAATGATATTTAGAAAAAGGGGAAATTTTTTTAACAATGAAAAATGGTTTTATAACGGACAAGAAATAGAAATTGTAGACCATTTTAATTATCTTGGCACAGTTATCAGATACAATGGTAATTTTTCGTTGCACAGGGAACATTTGATTGGTAAATCTTTAAAAGCTTTAAATATGTTATTGTATAATTGTAAAGATTTTGATTTTAAGCCTACATTATTGTGTCAGCTTTTTGATGCATTTGTTGGATCAATTTTATCATACTCTTCAGAGATTTGGGGCTAAAATAAGTCCAAAGACATAGAACGTATACACATGAGATTTTGTAAAAGAATTTTAAATGTTAGACAAAATACATGTAACGCAAGCGTATACGGAGATTTAGGTAGATATACTCTTTTCATAAATAGATATGTTAGAATTATAAAATTTTGGTGTAGATTGATAATTACAGATAATATTATCTTGCAGAAGGTTTATGAACAAAGTTTATACGATTGTCATAAAGTTTGTAATAATTGGGTTACTGATGTTAAGAATATGCTTGATATGTATGGGTTTTCCGATTATTTTGTTAATATTTATAAAGTTGATTGTAAATTTTTTCCAAGATTGTTTAAACAAAGACTGTTGGATAATTATAGATAAGAATGGAATTTAGCGATTGAAAACAGTTTAGTATTGGATCTTTATAAAAGTTGTAAAACAACACTATTACATGAAAATCACTTAGATATTTTACCAAAACACTATAGATTTTTTATTACAAGAATGAGAATGTCAGCTCATTCACTGAGAATTCAAACTGAAAGGTATGGTCAAAAAAGATTGCCACGTAATGAAAGATACTGTCTTTTCTGTAACAATGTTGATATAGAGGACGAATACCATTTCATATTGATATGCCCATGTTTCTTAGAAATTAGAAAAAAAATTATTTAAAAAATACTTCTATAAAAGGCCTTCCATGATAAAGTTTATTGAACTACTACATGTATGTAACAATCAAAAGAATATATTATTTAATCTGGCAAAATATATAAAAGAGTCATTAAATTACAGAAATACTATTGTTAATTCTGTCATATGAATATATATGCCTTTATTAAAGAATATATAAATTCTATTCAACATTTTTATGTGTAGATGTCTGCTATATAAACATGTATATTTAAATTAATTATGTTTAAAACAGTTTATCCTCAACACTATAGTATCATTTTTTGTTAATTTGAAATAGCATTCTAGAATAATTACTAAAGTAACGTGACATTGTCTTTAAAGTTTGTTTTAATGCATTGAAAATTAGTATTGAAAATGTATTGTAATGTATTGCAATGTATTATCACACTATGTATGATTATGATTATGTACTATGTACAAGTCAAAATAAAATAATGTTCTGTTCTGTTCATAATTTGCACATCATAAATTTTGAAAAGCATATCTTACTATAATATATAGTCGTAATAAAGAAAAACTGAATCACTAAAGAACGCCCAAAACCACAAAATTGTAAATGCTGCAGACTCGGTTTGATATTGAGCTTGTTCATGGACGGTACTGGAATCTTTATAGTGCAAGTCTTGGCCAAAGTCAATTACTTATTATTTTTAAAACTTATTCATAATGTAATTCAAGATTAGATGTATAAATGTAACAAATTATTGAATCTTTAACAAAAACTGTGTTAAAAGGATATATTTATTTCAGTTAACTAGCTGTCTGTAACAGCCTTAATTACTTTCAACATGCAAGATTTAAGCAGAATTCAACATTAAACCTGATCCATAAATGGTGATTATTGTGGAACTTTAGTGTAATTTCATGAAAAGCGGCATATAGTCTCCCAGTAAAAAATGTGTGTGCCTTAAACAAGAAAACAATTGGCTAAACTAAATAAAATGGAATTTTTAAAGGGCTTATGGTCTCCAGCCATGTCCTTCATAATCTTGTTTTAATCGTGCATGTATTAATTAGCTGTCGTCAATTTTGACCTGTGCATACTGTCAACTACATTGGTATAGATTCATAAAATTTGAACATTTTATTTGTAAATGAAGCATCATTACATTGAAAGTACTGCATCGATCAACCGACAATAAAGGCCCTACATGACAAGGAACTATTAATTTAATACGCGGAAAGTCCGAGCGGGGCCGAAGGCCCCGCGAGGGCTGTAGCGCTCTTAGATAACATGTATGACGCGTATCAATTCAAATGAAATCAAATTAAAAGTAAATGAAAATTTCAAAAAAATATATCCTATACCTAATGAGCTGTGAAAAAATCCTTAGTTAACTGGGCGCCGCCATTTTGAAATCCTTTTGAGCTAAATATAGATATTACTAATTGATGCCCTCTCTTGTTTTTGTTTGGTGTCCTGCTTGGTTCCTTACCAGTGGACGTGTGTCGCTGGTTTGTGTGGGCGGATGCATTCCTGCATTTTTATTTGTTCATATTGAGGATCTTTTCGTGAATAAAGGTACATTTCATAAAATATTCGCCAAAATAAAATCAGCGCACCAGTCCAAAATTTCTCTGCTTGATACCCACCTCATCATATTTTTTTACCCGAACTATTTTGACGCTTTGTAAAATATTCAGACAGTTTGTAGTATTTAATAAGTGTTGTCATTTTGGAGACTAAAATTGTGTAAATTGGAGTCTGCCAATGCACAATTCACAAATATCTTATGTTCCTACCATGACCTACAAATAAGTTTAGAACATATTCGATTAAATTTAGTATATCAAACAAGAACTCATATTATCAAGATGGCCGGTAAAGGGTAAAAACAAAAGTTCAAGAAACATAATTATTCATATTTTATTTGTTTTTACATAACAGAGAGGGAATGGACCTTTCACAGTAATTAAAAGGAAATGGAACAATTATTTGCTGGGCCATTTAGGCCTAAACAGTTAACACTTTTGCTGCCTTCAAGAAAAATCTTGCGTCATACTTGTCAGAGGTCTTACGTAAATTTGAAAACATCGCAGGCAAAGACGTTTCAATCGGTTAATCAGGTAGGAGCAAGTTTCAAGGATAAAAAAGTTAAAGGGTCACGCCAGGAGCGATAACTTACTTTACCAAAATCAAGTTTACATTAATTAGTATCAGGTCTAGGATTTCGTGATATTTATGGACAGTCTGTAAATTTTTGGACGATCCATAATTTTACAGATTTTTTGATCTGTAAATTTACAGACATGAACTAAGAAAATAGTAGAAGTTGCATTAAAATTCAAAACCGCAGGTTAAAATGGATAAGGTTACTTATTATATGAATAAATGTAACAGTATGGTAAGATTCAGAACAATTTGATGACTTTCAATTTTCACTTTTAACAAAAATTTCAAAATCATGATACAAAGATGAAACTCACCCCATTACCTTTGTAAATATAAACAATCAATATAACAACTTGTCTTAAGCTGCGGATTTTAGTTTAAAACTAAAAACAGCAAATTTCACATTGAATATCTTTAAATTTATGGATTGAATAATCTTTAAAATTCTAGACCATCCATGAATTTACGGACAGTCCGTAAATATCATGAAATCCTAGACCTGAGTAAATTTAAGTGCATAATTTGCCATAATTTTCCGGTCAGAGTTATGACCCTTTAATGATTTTTATTTTTAACAGTGCTTCCATTAGTGGAAGCTTGGAAGTCATTTACTTCTGATTTTGGCTTGTGACTTTCAAAATATAGCCCTTTTCCTTCTTTACCAATGGGTACAAGTCAACCCGGCCCCAAGTCAACCCGGCCTCAAGTCAGCCCGGCCCCAAATTGGTCAACCCGGCCCCATTTTTTTAAAATTATTTTTTTGCTTTAAAATATAAACACTTATCAAGAAATAAATAAAAATTAACAACAAAAGTTTAACGGTGATATCTTTTATTATTTATGTTATATAAAAACTATCAATAATAACAAACAAGCAACACGTGCATAGTTTACTGTTTTTACCGTCGCGAAAATAAGGTGACGTCTGTCTTCAACCTTAACCCTTCTACGATAGAAGTTTTGAGAAAAAAACTAAACTTTTTTTATTTACAAATCATGGAAAAGAAACCTTATTGTGTTCAAATCATTACTATGTTATTGTATGTTAAGAAAAAGAATTGACCAAAAGCACACTAAAGTGTTTCCATTAACAGTTTTTAAGTAAGATTAATTATAGAGATGCTGCCATCTAACACAGGTATCTCCTGTCTGTCGCGCACAATATATCCACAATCAATACAGTTATCAGTCATAATGACATAAAATGATTAAACACAAAACACTTTCAATTTTTCAAACACTTAGTAATATTCCAATACTTTTTTACACAGTAAATATTCTTTGAAAATAAGTTAATAAAATACGAAACAAATATTAATTATACCGATGAACGTATTCAATAAAAACATTCAAATGAACTGAAAAAAAGATTGTTGTAAACTTAATTAACTCGAAATTCTATGCATTTCTTTCCTAATTATCGCATTAAAACTTATGAAACCATCTTTAATTTACATCGAATTTAAAGGATTTGTTTTCACAGCTATACCTTTTTTGTTAATTGATTGCTTTAAACTGTTTCATTATCACATCTGAAATAATGTTGAGTTACATATAATTGTTGATGTTATATAATTATTCATTATCACCATTGCGTATTAAAGTCTTAATCGGCGCAATTAAATTTACCTACACTTTTATGCCAATTCGCGTTTTTTTACTATTGTTCTATAGTTGATAATATTCAATTAATAATTTTATTCCATCATACAACAAAATGACCTGAAGAGTTTTCTTTGAAAAATACATATTTTGGGGCTGCACTGACCAATTTTGGGGCCGCATTGACCAAATAAAAATACTGTGGGGCCGGATTGACCAATTTTGGGGCCGGGTTGACCAATTTTGAGGCCGGGTTGACTTGGGGCCGGGTTAACTTGGGGCAGGGTTGACTGTAATTCTTACCAATTATCAAAAAATACGCAAATTCCTGCGAGTATTGAGATTCGAGGCATCACAAAAAGCATGATTCCCAGTGACCTAATATGAAATTAGGCAAAGCCTATGAACGGGGAAGTCGTTAAAAATTTCCTTTCATTCTTTCCGTTTTAAAATTGTCATTCGGTATTACATGCACCGCTTCCGTTTTCACTCGGAACACTCGACCTTTATTATTGATCCGAAAAGTTGAGATTTGTTCCGTTATCGGAATACTCCGCCTTTTATCATTGAGTTACATTGTAAATGGCGGCGCCCGAAAAAAACTGACACTGAAAATTTCTTTGATAGGTATAGAATTCTATATATTTTTTAATTGTTTTTTATTTGATTTTCTTTTAAATATGCACGTGTAGTCTATAGCCGGGCAAGCCAAAGCCCGGACCCGCTTCGCGGGCCCGGTCTTTGACTTCCTCATATAAATTTCTCGTACACAAAAGAGTGAGACTGCGAGAATAACGAGTGATTATTTAGTCTGCAGTATCTCTGATCCAACACGAGTGACTCAGAGTAAATAAGATTGATTTGGTATGATATATAATTGATTTATTGCAAACTAGTCAAATCGGCCCCAAGTCAGATCGGCCCCAATTCAAATTGGCCCCAAAACTAGTCAAATCGGCCCCGAAAGTAGTCAAATGGGTTTCAAAACTAGTCAAATCGGCCCTAAACTTATTAATTGGTTATTGAAAATGACAGATGTCAAGTTGAATTTCATTAGTAATATTTTTTAACAGAGGCTAATATAATGATCATTGACTGATAATTGATCATGAAAAATGTGTATGATACAATATAAATATAATTCATATAAATTTCTAATTTGTATAATATCATTTAAATGAATATACATTTATATTATAATTGTTGACTTTTTCATACTTTCATTTAATTTTTATGCTTGAAGCTATCGTGCGAAACTTTCAGCAACGGCACTGCTGAAGAAGATATTTATCAATATGCATGCAACATTTAAAAAAGAAAATGAAAAATGAATAAAGAAAAAAAAATGGGGCAGATCTGACTTGAGGCCGATTTCACTTGAGGCCGATTTGACTATTTTGGGGCCAATCTGACTTGGGGCCGATTTGACTGTAAATCGATTTATTAGTTAAACTAATGCTCTTACTCTGAACTAAAACCCTTTTGTCTTCTTTACTCCCAGTTGATGTAAATCTGACCTTTTAATCATGGCATAGATCAGATAATGCAAGAAAATGAAATAGCTTGTAATGAAGTCCGCTCTGAAACAAACAACTTCTCAGGCTTTACTAAGTGTTTGATAAAACGGCTCATATACTGAAGAAGATCCAACATTCTGTTAAAAAACTTATATTTTTCCCCCAAGACTGGCGCATATCACAAAGAAAATTTTAGAAATTGGTGCAGAAATAAAATATTTACGGTTATTTTCTTTTTCGAATTGAGCAAATTTTTGTCTTAAAAACAATGCTGAAAATAAAGTTAAAATTTTATACAAAGTATCAAAGATGCATAAATTTAGTTTCATTGGAAATAACAAAAATATTTCATGACAGCAGCTTATTGTTGATAAATTTGTCGACTGAATTTTTTTTTAGCTTGTTTTTAATGAAATAATTTTGTGGAAATTCCCCCTTGAATGAAAAATATTTGAAAATCATGCGAAATTCCCCCAGTGCGTTGACCCTGGCCCCAGTCTCAAAAATGCTAACAAGAGCCCTGAGCATAATATGATTTTATTTGATCATATACGAGGGGTGATCCAGAAATAACCGGACTGGGCGCATTACTTACTAACTTAGAAATAGACAAAGAGAAAATCCCGAAAAGATATCTGACATTAATTTCAATGTTTAATGCATGACTCCTGAAAATTTCAATGCATTATGGCAATAAACAACACTAATATACATACAAACACACTTTGTGTTCTGCGTGTGCTGGGGCAGTCATCAATCAAACGTTGACGGCGTTGACGTTACCCAAAGTTATTCTGACAGTCACTTTTCTATGTAATCACCGTTTACATCCACACACTTCTGATCTGGCGCTGACTTTAGACATATTTAATTGTTCAGTGATCACTCGATGTACAGTCCCGTAACTATATCCAGTAACATCACAAACATCTAGTATGGTTACACTGTTATGTATGCAACATATTACATGTATATAATTTATATCTAACCAGTTGGTATTTCCAATATTATCATTGTTCTATTTTTAAAACATAAACTACATGTATGTACTAAAAGGTTCTTAACTGTTGTAAAAAACTCATGCATTATATTTAAATAAAAAATTTCTAAAATAATCTTTATTGTTAAAGTTGCTAAATTATAATTACTGTAGTAAATAAAAAACTATTCTAAAAACTTCTTAGTTAATATATATAAAAAAACATTTTTCATTACTTGTACCTTTTAAGTCATCAGTAACCTTTTAAGTCATCAGTTACCTTTTAAGTCATCAATATATTTAAAGTATTTTACAACTTAAATATTAAGTAATTTATTAAAGCTTAAATTATTTTAAAATAGTTAAAATTATTCTTGTAAATTTTATTGTAAAAATTTATTCTAAAGTGTTCTTAAATTTAACTTAAATTTAACTGTGCTATTAAAAAAAAAATCATTCCAAAATCAAACTAAACATTTAAATTTTACATTTTATATTTTAAAATTCAAAGGGAATTTTTAAAACATAATTTTTTGTTTTAATTTTTTAAAAAAATTTTTTTGTAAAAAATTTTTTTATTGTTTCAAGTTTGTTGCTGGCTTTTTTTTCCCGGTTTCGGCCCGGGGTCGTAACAGAAATTTGGGGCTCGTCCGGGAAATTAATTTTTTATTTTGGGTTCTTATTGGAAAAAATTTTTTCCATTTTTTTTTACATTTTAATTTTTGACCGGGATTTCTTTATTAAATAATTAAAAGTTGGGTTTTTTAAGTTTTACCCTTTTATTTTTTTAAATTTTTTAAAAAACATCACTTTCCCAATTTTAAAAAACCCGCAACCAAGCATATGTCTTTTTAAATTTTAAAAAAGTTTTTTAAACTAAAACCCTTCCCCGAAGGTAAAAAAAATTTGGGAAAAAAAAATAATTTTTTCATCTTGCAAAAAAGTATAATTTATCAAAAATTAAATCTTCAATGCTTAAACAAAAAATTAAAAATCTTCTAATTCATTATTTTGTAAATAAAAATATTTTTAAACAAAATGCACTTTCTCACATTGTTAAAAAACACTCTAAAATTTCTAAAATAAAAATAAAAAAGCTTAAACTTCAATTTAAATTTAAACTAAAAAAAATAAAATTAAAAAAAAAAAAAAAAAAAAAGAAAAAAAAAAAAAAAAAAAAAAAAAAAAAAAAAAAAAAAAAAAATAAAAAAAAAAAAAAAAAAAAAAAAAAAAAAAAAAAAAAAAAAAAAAAAAAAAAAAAAAAAAAAAAAAAAAAAAAAAAAATTCAGTTAAAAATAAAAAAATTAAAAATAAAAAAAAAAGCAAATCAGTTTAAACATAAAATAAATTCAAAATTTAATGTCACTAAAAATATTAGGCTTGTTCCACCTTTCCAAAAAAAAAAGTTAATAAGTATTTTCTTCATTTTAAAAAGGTTGCTAAAAATTTAAAATGGCCAAAAAAGCACTAAACATTACTTTTACAAAGCGTCTTAATTGGTAAAGCGCGTAAAATCTATAACACAACTTACTGTTAAACAAAGCTCTAATTATAATAATGTAAAAAAATTAATTCTTAAAGGTTATAAGTTAGTACCAAAGGCCTACAGGCAAAAATTCAAAAATTCTAAAAAAAAATTGGTCAAACCCATGTCAAATTTGCAAAAAAAAAAAAACAACTTTTTAATCGGTGGTGTCTATCTAAAAAAATAAATAAAAATCATAAAAAGCTCAAACAGCTCATGTTAGTTAAAAAGTTTAAACGTTGCATTCACTCTAATGTTAAATCTTTCTTAAATAAAAAACAGGTAAAAACTTTAAAAAAAGCTGCCCGTCTAGCTAATAATTATTCTTTAACCCACAAAGTCTCATTTATGAATAAAAAAAAGTCCACACCCTCACATTTTAATTCCAAGTTCAGTTCTGGTAATTCATCTGGCTCGTCTAGTCAGTCAAATACTCCCAAACCAAAGTCATCAATATATTTAAAGTATTATTCAACTTAAAAATTAAGTAATTTATTAAAGCTTAAATTATTTTAAAACAGTTAAAATTATTCTTGTAAATTTTATTGTAAAAATTTATTCTAAAGTGTTCTTAAATTTAACTTAAATTTAACTGTGCTATTCAAAAAAAAATCATTCCAAAATCAAACTAAACATTTAAATTTTACATTTTATATTTAAACTTCAGGTATTTGTACGTGCATAATTTGTTGTTTTAATTTTCTTTAATAATTTTTCTGTAATAAATTTGTTATTGTTACAAGTTTGTTGCTGGCTTTTCTTTCTCGTTACGCCTGGCTCGTAACAACATGCCTGTTGCTGAGAATGATGTCTTTGATTGTGTCAACAAACGTCTAAAACCTTCTCTTCAATCATCTTCTAGAGATTGCCTGCCTTCACGGAATCGCCGATGCCATTCAAAAACTTGTGTTTTTCATACTATCTTTCCTGCAGATGACTGTTTTTTCATTTCATAAGTTTTTGTAGGTGAATAACCAAGTTCGCACCAAAATTTAATAATTTTGCGCTGTTCTGGATACTGATGTGACGCCATTGTCAAGACACTAGCGGAGATGATGTCCAGTTTGTTGTTTGATAACGGAAAACGTTATGACATTGTAACTTTGATAAAAGACGTCAATGACGTTATGTCAAACTGACGTTAATTGGCTCCAAAATGAGAAGTCCAAAATATGTTCAATATAAGCTATAAAATAGCAATTCGTGAATGAAAAATGACTTCCCCCACTCTTGCGCTAGTGTGTTTCCATGACTACGCATAAAACAACGGAATACATCTGAAGAATACTATTTTAATTTCCAACAGAATCAGTTTGATCTGAATTACGTTTGGTACATACTTCATGCAAAAATCGTAAAGAATAAATATGTTAGAGAGTAAGTCGGGTTATTTCTGGATCACCCCTCGTAGAACAGATTTTAAGTTCAAGACAACCTGGTAAAACAGTACACATGGCCCATGCTCCAATTTCTCAATTTTTTGATAAAGGTGTATGTTCATGTCTACTTGCTACTAGCACAATAGATATGTACATGTATGTCAATCACCACTGTAAATATTAAGTCATCTATCTTATTTACTGTGAATATCAGACTTGAAAAATTACCCCAAAATCTTGACATTGTTTTGAACAATGGACTTTTTTACTTGTAGTGAATCTTGGCGTTTCCATAGCTCAAAAATGTTGGCAAAGCAGTTTAGGGTAATTTAACCTGATATGGTATATCATCATAGTTAACTCATAAATCACACTTTTGGTAGCGATTTGCTTCTGAGTTAAATATGGCAAATTTTGATTTCTATTACAGAAATGCACCTTTATGCAAGTAAAACAACTGAAAAAGGAATATAAGGCTGTACGTAAACTTTTATTAAGGTCAAGTACCATTGACTGCCTCCCGTCAAGGTCATCTTTAGGTAAGAATATGATTTTTTAATGGTCTGGGTGGGTAGGAAGGGACTTCTAAGATATATATGAGCCGTGTCATGACAAAACCAACATAATGGGTTTGCGACCAGCATGGATCCAGACCAGCCTGCCAATCCACGCAGTCTGATCAGGATCCATGCTGTTCGCTATCAGTTTCTCTACTTGTTATAGGGTCTGTGAGCGAACAGCATGGATCCTGATCAGACTGCGCGGATGCGCAGGCTGTTCTGGAGCCATGCTGGTCGCAAACGCACTATGTTGGTTTTGACGTGACGCGGCTCATATGTAGATCTGCAATGCATTTGTAAAAGACACTGGCTTTGAAAGATTCTACATTGGATAGTAGATTATTTTATGTATGAAAGTTATCTCTATCCATGTAACTGGCTTGTAGAAGATTTTAGCCTCGAAGATCTCTTCCAAATGAAACTAGAAGGTTTCCATGATTATGACTTAAAAACACAATAAAAAAAAAATATTACTAACATAACATATAGAGGATGTTTTCACAAAAATAATATTCTTTTTGTGTATTTGTATGATTAAATGTGAAGCTTATATTTATTGCAAAGACTGATTTAAAATGTTTATTATGTAGTACAGAACATTTTGTTCTGGTATATATGTAAAGAGGTAGTCTTAAGAGTAATTCAAAGTTAGTAGTTACTCTATATTATTTATCCCCTTGTGGCTGAGGGGTTGCCCTTAAGGGTTGAGGCACCAGAATTGATGCCACCATTCATCCCTGCTTGTGGTTAAAGATGACTAAACGAGTTTGAATTACTGGAGTCTATGCATCTCTTAGCTTCAGGGGGTGAGGTGGTTTTGACCTAAGTTTGTTGTAACACCCAAGGTTAGCCAAAGTGATCTTTCCAGTTTCATCACAATATGATGTAAATTGTGTTGGTGCACCATATATGCAAACAAAACAAACATTGTTATTTATTTCAGGAAACTATCGCTTTTACAGTACTGAAAAAGATGAGGCGAAAAAAAATGAGAATAAAAATGAGGATAAGAATAAAAATGAGGATGAGAAAAAAAAAGATGATGGAAAGAAAACAGACGAGGATAAAAAACATGTCAATACAACAGAATTGCTAAGGATAACCAATTCTTTAGATTTTTGTATGAATATGTTTCTACTAGATGGGTTATGGTAAAGGCCCATTAAGCCCCAAAAAAATGCTAATGCATTAGTATTATTTCTAACATCTTTTTGTGTCGCCTTGAAAAGGCAACATATAGGGGTCACTTTTGTTGGCAGTGGTTGGCGTCCCCTAAGGCTTGTATGGAGCATAACTCAGTCACATTAAGTCAGATTGACTCCAAACTTGGTATGCATGCTTCTTTCAATAACCATAAGTGCAGTGCACAAGAAGCTTAATTTTTTAGTTATTGCCCTTTGTTAAATTTCATACTTTATTATTGTCTGGGCCATTTCTCCTAAACTATAAAAGATATGGACTTGATACTTCATATGATGATAGATCTCATTAAGAAGAAGTGCAGTGCACAAGAACACTTCTTATTTTTGGAGTTATTGCCCTTTGTTAATTTTCATACTTTATTTTTGTCCGGGCGATTTCTCCTAAAGTATAAAAATTTCAGGCATAAAACTTTATATGATGATAGATCTCATTGAGATGAAGTGCAGTGCACAAGAACCGGTACTCCATGACTTTTTAGTTATTGCCCTTTGTTGATTTTCTTACTTTATTTTTATCACGGCCAGTTCACCTAAGCTATAAAAGCTATGGACTTGAATCTTCATAGGATGATAGATCTTATTAAGAAGAAGTGCAGTACACAAGAACCTGTACTCTGCACTTCTTATTTTATGAGTTATTGCCCATTAGCACTCTTGACAAATAACCTATATTAGTGACAGCTATACTGTTCACAAGGCGACACATCAGACTTGCAGTTCTAGTTTATTTTTGGCATCCTGTTACAGTTTCCAAAATGATATTCATTTAGTATAGCTCAATCATCTTTCACATTTAGTACAAGTACAGATATAGTGATTCAGTATTTTGTATAGAAGCCTAAATACCACTTTGTTCAGATTTTGCTGCTAAATGACAAATTATTTCTTCTTCTGCGTTAATTTCTTAAGGTCATCAAACTGCTCTAAATCCTGTCAAAGGGTATAAATGGCCTACAAATTTAGGTCACATAATAAGAGTTTTGTGGGTGAAATTTCATGTCACATAGGTTAACTATTAACTTAACCTTTAACCGTTGACCTTTTGTATAAGTTTTAAGAAATAGCAATGAAATGTTGACTATGTGGACATTAGATGTTATCATGTTAACCTTTGATGATCTCAATAATGACAGTATGATTTAACTTTAAAGTTTAATTTTTAGCTACCATTTTCATAATAGGACTACTTGTAAAATCTAACATGGTAAATTAAAATTTGTTATATAGCATAGTCTAGTACGCAACATTTAAGCACTCACACTAACTGACCTGAGCACACTGTAATCGATGGGAGTTTGTCCTTTTTAGCTCACCTGTCACCGTTTTCCGTAAACTTTTACTTTAAATGACATCTCTTCATAAACCCAGGCTGTCAACCACCAATTCCTATAAAACTCCTATATTTTGGGTCGGAATCCTATATTTTAAAAAGCCTCCTATTTTTCCTATATTCTCCTATATTTTGAATATTTTTCCTATATTTTTTTAAAAATATATTGCCAAGGAATTCAAAGAGATTTAAATTTTGGTACTGCTTTTGGCCTTTTGTATTTTACAGGTAAGAGAAAGTGTATGCCTGCATCAGCATCACATTACTATGCTCAAGGCTGCTGTGCTCCACATAGCAATCTGCATGGTCACCATGAAAAGCAGTGCATCAGTATGTCAACTTTATTACAGGTGACCATTCAGATGATGGTCATGCATTGCTGTAATTTTCTGCCGGGATGCTGATGCTGTGGTTCAAAGCTAATGCAGGCTGTCCGCTGCGTCCCTCAAATTCCTAAAAAAAAGTCCTAATTTTTCAGTTTTGCTAAAATCCTAAAAAAATTAAAAATTCAAAGGGAATTCCTAAAGATGCCCTATTTTTTCACTGAAATTCCTCATTTTTTTTATCTTTTGTTATAAACATACTTATAACTTGTAACCATTTATATCATATCATATTTAAAAATGATCATTATGAAGCTGTTGTAACACAATCTTAATTAAAAACATGTATAAATTGTTGTCAAAAATTATTGTAGAATTTGTTTACTCACAACTCTTTTATTTAAATCTGCATAATATCAAAACAACATTGTAAAGTACTGAATGGGTTAACGTAGACTTTGAAAAATTAATTCTTTCCCTCATACTTATTTATCCTTTCCAATGTCTCTGTAGAAGAAATTGCTTATTTTGCTACATAATTATCAATTTCATTCAATTCTTGTTCTTTTCATACATATGGTGATATTTAGGAAAATGCAGACTCATATAATTAATCTCACTCAAAAATAATTTGGCAGTTCAGTAATATAATGCTCATTTCCAATTACAATGTACACACATTTTGCAATTATGTGATCTAGATAAACTGCAATTGAATGGTCTCTGTGATGAACTTTTTTGATGTGCAATTCTTTGTGTTGATTATATATGCTTCCCATTTATTCAAATGACTGTACTAAGGCAAATGCCTTTTTCCTTTTTACTTGTACAAAAAATTTCATTTGTCCATATTCAAAAGCTGCATTGTGCAAGAATTTCACTGTATAAGAATTCCTTTTAGACATTTGTGGTTATAACATTCCCAAAACATAGGTAAAACATGTTCTTTTTGACATGTTCAGCCAGTTTAAAAATATGGTTTGAACATGATTTGACTAAGACCATTTCCGCAGGGGAGGCAGTTGACCAGTGAGTCCACACTGGTAGCACCTTTGCTCTAACTAAACTAGAACATTATTTGTGAGTTACTTTTGTGTCAAATATGCAAAGATTAGCCCTCATCATGGTCCTTTGGGACCTGAGTTTATTTAGTTATAAAATTACAAATTTTAGCCCTAAAATTTCTATTACGTACCCTAAAATTCGCCCTAATTTTATGTTGGAAGGTGCTGAACAGCCTGCTAATGGTGTCCTTCCCTTATACGGTAGACATTTTATTGTAGAAACAGCATGTGTAAAAGTAAGAATAATTTACATTTATATAAGCATTGGTAAGTTAAACAATTTAAGTTGAAAACTCCTATTTTTTGCCTCAAAATGGTCCAAAAACTCCTATATTTCGTGCAAAAATATTCCTATATTCCTCCTTTATTTTGGATAAGACCTTGTTGACAGCCTGTAAACCACTAAGCCAATTTCATCCAAACTTCACAGGAATGTTCCTTTGGTAGTGACCTAAAAAAATTGTTCAAAGAATTAAATTCCATGCAGAACTCTGGTTGTCATGGCAACCGAAAGAAAAAACTTTAAAAAATCTTTTTTTAAAAAAACCCAAAGAGCTAGTGCTTAGATATTTATCATGAAACATCTTCTAATGGGTGTCTACCAAGTTTGTTCAAATAAAAGCTCCTGGGTTAAAATTGGTCCCGCCCCGGGGGCCTATATAAAGGTAAGCTATTTTAGGGCCATCATGGCCCTCTTGTCATACATTTTTGATGAAATAAGTATGTGTACATGACACATGAATAATTTGAAACATTATTGAATATGTTTTATTTTGTTTGTAGGGATTGCTTTTCTTATATCAATCGTGATGTCTTGGTTTTTGTCAGGACCAAAGCCTGAAGGCAAAACAGTGAAATATGAAGAGTTTGTGAAAGACTATCTTATGAAAGGCAGGGTATGTTACAACATTATTTGGAGAAGTTTTGTTTGAGCATAATGTGATCATTGTTAAATTTTGTTCATCTTCCATAGTTGTCTGCAATTTCGACCCCAAGATTTTGAATTAACTTCACTGGAATGAGCCTCAGATGTTCCTCGTCAAATTTTATGTTAATGTATTCTGTCAGATGCACAGAGAGGGCAGCAGGTAAAATAAGAATTTCAACAAAAAATATTTTTATCAGAAACTATAATGCTAAAAGCTAAGATTATTGCAACTTGTGAAGTAATATTGCATAGTGATTTGATTATGTCCCTATGGTCAGAAATGAACAAAAACTGTGGCGTGTGATATAAAAAATGTATATAAAAAATTTGTCTGAAACTACAAGAACAACAGTTTAGTAATACATGTAATTGCACAATATAGTATGCCTGTTGTGTAAGAGACACTGGTTGCATTCATCTTCCTTGACTTTTACTCCTCGTTGTCCTTGAGATCTCTCCTCATTTTCTTCGAAATTTCTCCTCATTGTCCTTGAGATCTCTCCTCATTTTCTTCGAAATTTCTCCTCATTGTCCTTGTGATCACTCCTCATCCTCCTTGAGATTACTCCTCATCGACATAGAAGTTACTTCTTATTGTCCTTGAGATTACTTCTCATCTTCCTTGAAATTACTCCTCATTATCCTTGAGATTTCTCTTCATTGTCCTTGAGATTTCTCCTCATCGATCTTGAGATTACTCCTCATTGTCATTGAGGTTACTCTTCATTGTCCTTGAGATTTCTCCTCATCGATCTTGAGATTACTTCTCATCTTCCTTGAGATTTCTCTTCATTGTCCTTGAGATTTCTCCTCATCGATCTTGAGATTACTTCTCATCTTCCTTGAAATTACTCCTCATTATCCTTGAGATTTCTCTTTATTGTCCTTGAGATTTCTCCTCATCGATCTTGAGATTGCTCCTCATTGTCCTTGAGGTTACTCTTCATTATCCTTGAGATTTCTCTTCATTGTCCTTGAGATTTCTCCTCATCGATCTTGAGATTGCTCTTCATTGTCCTTGAGGTTACTCTTCATCATCCTTGAGGTTACTCCTCATTGTCCTTGAGATTTCTCCTCATCGATCTTGAGATTGCTCCTCATTGTCCTTGAGGTTACTTTTCATCATCCTTGAGGTTACTCCTCATTGTCCTTGAGATTAGTCCTCATCATTTACAATGATAAAACCCATTTGTTGAATAATTCAATTATGAACTTAACCTTTATTTGACCTGGACTGCCAATGTCATAATGTTGAAATTTGCTTTAATTTTCATAATTTTGTTATTTATGTACAAATTTGATTTATTCTTGGAGAAAAGAACACATGACATACCAACATATAGAATTATTTTGATATGACATTAACCTTTAATTGACCTTCAATTTTAAATTATTGAAATTTGAGTAAATTGTCATAACTTTGGTATTTTTTTACAGATTTGACAGACAGTCATTTGACCAAATTGCATGTCAAATTATTCTAAAATGACTTTGACGTTTGAACGACCTTTACCCTGAAGGTCATATTATTGAAATTTGATTATTTTGTATAAACTTTGTAATCTATTCATAGATTTGATTCTTTCTTGAACAAAAGAACTTTTATTGCAAAACTGACATAAAAATTTAGATGTGACCATGACCTTTTATGAACCGTCAATGTCAGATATGATATGTCACATAGACTCTAGTTATTTTGTAGTATTCTTCGATGATATATTTTAATAGGCAGGTTTCCTTTAGTTTTTCAGGTTAATGATATGCACATCTTTTTTTCAGGTTAGTCACGTTACTATTTATGCAGGACGTGACGGACGTGCCGTAGAAAGACCCCAAGCAACTCTTTATCCTGTAAAATACAAGGTATCAATTCATGATTTTTGAAAAAGTACAATGTAATATTGAAAATACTTAATAAAAAAATGATTAACATGTTGTTTAGATTATACATGTATAATAACCTATAAAGTGGCGGCATGGCCAAGTGGCTCATGCGTCAAATTAGTACTCTTAAGGATCATTTTTGGTGTGGATTCAAACCCCTTCAGAGGCAAAACGTTGCTTCCTTGAGCAAGAAATTTTACTCTCGTTGCTTTATACTGATTGGTTTCAGGAAACAGATTCAAAATGTGTCTATAAGCTTTAAGCTTCTAACACAGTGGAATTTTTGTATTGTAAAAGCACTGGCTGCTAGTTAATATCTGGCTCAAACATAAATGTTTTAATGGGTTATTAAACTGTTAGTTTCTGCTAAAAAGTACGTAACATGTATCTCTAAGTTGGATATATCTGTTTTATGTGCACATTCTGAGTGGAGCAATAACCATCATGATGTATATTTTAGTGTTCATCCATGCTGTTCTACAGAAATTAGAAGATAGCAACCGGAGAATGTTTCTTATTTCTGTAAAACAGCTATGGATGAACGCTATGATACTTAGTGTCAGGCTTTATTTGGCTTCATTAATATTCACTTAATTACATCACTATCTGTCTATATTTAGCTCGACTATTGGATAAGAATAAGTAGAGCTATCCTAGTCACCCGAGCGTCGGTGTCGTCGTTGGTGTAACCACTTATGTTAAAGTTTTTGTAAGCCTCAAATATTTTCAAAGTCCATTGACATATGGCTTTGAAACTTTGCACACTTGTTCACCATCATGACCCCAACCTGTAGACAGGAGGAAGTAACTGTATCAAGCATTTTGACAGAATTATGCCCCTTTTTTGACTTAGAATTTACGTTAATGTTTTTGTAACACCTCAAATATTTTCAAAGTCCATTGACATATGGCTTTGAAACTTTGCACATTTTTTCACCATCATGACCCCAATCTGTGGACAAGAGGAAGTAATTCAAGCATTTTGACAGGTTATGCCCTTTTTTCGACTTAGAATTTACATTAAAGTTTGCATACAACCTCAGATATTTTCATATTCCATTGACATCTGTCTTTGAAACAAGTGGAAATTTTATACATTTCTTTGAGAACATAATAGGACCATCTCCAAGGCCTATATCTGTAACATGGATTTAAAGAAAAATTTGGCCCATTTGTTAACTTAGAAAACTTTACATTATCAAGGCTCTTTTACTATCAAGCACTAAGAATAGTTGAGCGTGCTGTCCTACCAACAGCTCTTGTTATGAACATGGTTCAAGGAAGCACTATGAAAAATATAAGGCGACTATGAATGGAATTTGATATAGTATCAACTTTTGTTCTGAAAATTAACAAACAGAATTTTTAAGAAAAACAGCATTTTTATTGGATGACAAATAAAGCTGGACAAGATTTAACTGTTTCATCACTCGCACATTTTCCCTATTTTTAGGAGCATCAGTTGTTTCAAACGAGGTTATTGTTTTTTATTTTCAACAGAACATGGCTGACGAAAAGTTGAATATTGAGTTGGCAAGTCATGGTTTTGAGAAAAAACTGCGCCAGCTTGAAAGCGATTTAAATGTACAGAAGACAGAGAGCATTCCTGTTAACTACTCTGATAAGTTAGTTTTATATTTTGTTGTGTTTACCTCAGATTATTATCATGTATTACACATAAATTTGAGCCCAAAAAAAAATCTGTATTGTTTCCTTTTTAATACCCCCTTCCCTCTCTTCACTGCCACATTTTATAGAATAAAAATCGTACGTTATATAGATTTAAAATCCATAAGGAAAGGGCAATCCAAAAAATCCAAAATATTTTTCTTTAAAAAATAAAACAATTATTGACTCTCCAGTAATGTAAAATCATTAATAAAAATAATTCTGTATTATATATTAGTTCATAATAATAAATAATGATTTTTAGTTTGACTTTGGACAAGACCTTATATCTTTTTGTTTTATTTTAGAGTTTTACTCACAGAAAGGGAGCATCAGTTGCTTAGGATTATTGCAGCTTTTTATGTATTTTCTACAGTATGGATATTTATGAGACTCCGGAAGTTTGTGACTCGAAGTAAAGATAAAGTACCTAAAGATAGTACTGTAGAAGTAGGTTTTCATTTATCTTTTGTAACTAATAGAGAATATTGCAAGAGATTATTAAAATTTAGTTAACATGACAACAATGTGAATGAAGTAAAAGTTCACATTTTTACTCTTCTATATATCAAGTTTTCAGTACAGAAAAAAAATATACAAAAAATATACCACTCATCAGGTATGAAAGTAAATCATGTACAAGAAATTCGGAGTATTTATCGATACATTGGTGTGTCACCATCATGTGTCATCCGACATCGATGTATCGTCAATATGCTTTGCACTGAATCAATTACAGCTCTATGTTTAGAAATGATTCATTTAATTGCAACCATAATTGAAATTTTGAAAAAAAAACAATTTGTTCAATTTTTTAACTTTAATTTTTATAAAAAGAATCTTCCACATTGGTTTTTCCACATCGGTTTTTCCAACACCCAAGTCTTAAAATAGCTCTACCTTTGACTAGTTGCTCATAAAGATGTTTATTTATATTTGCGCTGTCCAAGAAAAAAATCCTCGTGCTATTAACAGCAACTGTAAACACAAATCACTCTTTAGTGCATTCTTGCTTAATCTCAAAAAAATAAATTCATAATGCTACTTGCCCTGTAGGCAGATGATACCTTTAGCTTTTACTGAAAACCGTTTTCTGTTATTTATAAACTAATTGTCACTCTCTTATTTGGAGGTCAATGTTTGGATGCAAATATCTTAGTTTTAGGTTAAATTTTGGGACAAACTTTATTTCACTCTAAATGAAACTTATTGAGCATATATCAAGTTGATTTTTAGAAGATGAGGCTTTAATTCAAATAAATTGATACTACTAGTATCTTAAAATGTAAAATGTTGATACTAATTAAAAAAAAAAAATTGCTTGCAATCTTCTTGGCTTCACAAACTTTTTGAAATATCAATGCCTGCCGTTAAAGCCCTTTTGTACATTATGTTGTGCCCAAGAAGTCACCTGAAAAGAGAAATGATTCAGTGACTTTCAAGCCTGTTGGAGTATTGTCTGTACATTAAAGTCTACAAATTTTAATACTTTTTCAGAAATTATGGGATGGCAGTATAATGTCTGAGTCATTTTCGTTAACACGTGGAGATAAACTGATGAAAGAGAAAATGACCTTCAAAGATGTGGCAGGACTTCATGAAGCTAAGACGGAGGTGTTCGAATTTGTGAAATATTTAAAGAATCGAGATTTAGTTCAAGTAGGTTTAGTTCTCACTTGTTGTCTAACTATTCAATTTGAAGCTGTTTCATACCTTTTATTTGGCTCGATTTTAGCTGAACTATTTGAAGAATAGTAAGGCTGTCCTACCCACACAGGTGTTAGTATCAGTCTCTAGGTCAGTATATGACTTTGGTTTAAGTTTAATCTGCATTGTCTTGTTTAAGATCATATCTCTTCAACCTCTACAGATATTTGCTTGTAACTTCAAGTATGATTGTGTTGGAAGCTATAAACTTATTGAAACACTCTCGAATCTGTTCCTGGAACCAACCAGGACTAAGCAATGAATGTAAAGTTTCTTGCACAAGGAAACAACGGCTTGACCCTTACAGGGTTTGAAGTTCCCACAGCAATCCTGAGATTACTAGTCCGATGCGTTAACCACTCGGCCACGCCGCCCCTATCTTCTTTCCTTATATGTATAAAATTGTGCCTCTTTTAATGACGAAAATACAGTAAAAATTGTTTTTTATCTTGAATGTTTTTCTCCCAATTACGTTTGAACCTCAACAGAACTTACACAACATACTTTAGCCATGTTTTACCAATTGCTCAACAAGGTGGATTTATAAGTCTGCTGTTGGTATTTGAACACTTTATGCTCTTAATAACTAAATGAAGTAACAGTTTTTACTCTTTTTTTTTTTAATAAAAGTCAAAATAAGATATTAGAAATTATTAATATTTGTTGTCGATATTTGAATTTTGTATCTATTCAGAATGACAAGACTTGGTAATACATGTAGTCTTATTTGTTTTGTTTAACAGAAGCTTGGAGCAAGACCACCTACTGGAGCACTTTTGTTAGGACCTCCTGGATGTGGTAAAACATTGCTGGCTAAAGCTTTAGCCTCAGAATGTGACGTACCATTTTACTACATGGCTGCCACAGAGTTCATGGATATGTTTGTTGGTAATATTTTATTCTATAATTGAGCCGCGTCATGACAAAACCAACGTAATGGGTTTGCGACCAGCAAGGATCCAGACCAGCCTGCGCATCCGCGCAGTCTGATCAGGATCCATGCTGTTCGCTTACAAACTCTATAACCAGTATAGAAACTGATAGCGAACAGCATGGATCCTGATCAGACTGCGCGGATGCGCTGGCTGGTCTTGATCCATGCTGGTCGCAAACCCATTATGTTGGTTTTGTCGTGACACGGCTCAATTATATTGCTATCACCATGATTATTGGTACATACCTATCAGGAAATAGATATCAATTTTAAGTTCGTTCTAGAAAAATGCAAAGTTTGAGTTTAAATACTTTGGAATATAGTAATGAAGGCAGGTAGTTCTGATTGATTAATTACAAAGCATTTAAACGATAAACCTTGTATTATTACACTTTAAAAATTTTCTTTTAAAGACTATAATGCCCAAAGCTTAGATATTTAGCAAGAAGCATCATCTTTTATCTTCAACAAAAGTAACATATTAACATATATCATTATCCCAGGGTAAATATTTGCCTAACCCTTGGGTTCACATATTTTACATGAATCTAGGACAACACATTAAAATCTTCTCAGAAATTGCCATGTACAGAGCTGAGATTTTTGCCATGTAGTGTAACCTGGTTCACCATAATAAAATTTTATATAAAGGTCAAAATTGGCCAAACCATAGGGGTCAATTACTTTACATAGACTTATATGGGAAAGGAAAGCTTAATCCTCTTATGTGACACTACATGGCATAGATGTTTTACATTTAACATTTCCTATTCGTAGGTTATATTAATAATGGCACTGTAGTTAAAAATTGCCCTGCCTTTGGATCTTATTTGTAACATTGAGTTGTATAGGAAACTTGATTTAAAAATCTCTTAATAAACAACACTGCCCAGAGCTTGGATATATGGTATAGTGCGTTAATATGTAGCCACCTGCAAAATGACGCGTCATTTGTTTGAGTCAAACCAGCAATTTTGGATTTGTTCTTGTGAGGAAAGTTTCCAGCTAGCTTACAGAGTGTTGGTGGTTCTACTCAGATGCTCACTTGCACCTAATATAATGCACAGAGGGCACCTGAGGTCTTCCCCCCACCAGTTAAGTTGGAAAGTGGCCATATGACTTTACAATGTTTGTGTCACTTAAAACCAACCAAACAAACAAACTTTCACATGCTAATGTTTGAGTGGTTAAGGTTGTTGACTTCAAACCAGATTCTTTCATGTGAGAAAACTATCCAGCTAGCTTACGGAACGTCAGTGTTTCTAGTCAGGTGCATTATTGAAGGCACAAACGGGCATGTGAGGTCTTTCTCCACCAGTAAAGCTGGAATTGCCAAATGACCTATACTGGTTGAAGAGATAAACCCAACACTTGGTGTAATTTTTTTATTTATTTTTTCTTGTCAACAAACAAGCACATGGTCACCTAGTAATAAAGGAGAAGGACAGACTGTGATGAGATTTTTAAATTTGGTAAACTTTTAAATGTGTTTATGTTGACCACAATTTTTTGTTACAAAAACAGCCACAAAATGTTCTTTTTACTTAACTTCCAGACGGTAGTTAAGAATTGTCTTGAATACAGGGTAGTGACTTGGGAAAATTTCTTTAAAAATTTGTTAAATTATCAATAAGGCATAGATAAAGCCAATCTCCTATGCAGTGATCTCCCCTTATCAGTACAGAGATTTCTGCCATCACAAACATTGAAATATCAATATTTTAATATTTTATATTTTTTAGCTTTTTAATTTATTTTTCATTATTTTGTATACTTTTGATAATTTTTTGATAAAATATAACTGACGTAGGTACAAAAAGTTAAAAATAAAACAGAAAGAGAAAAATGACGTTAGATTTTCTATGTAACGGTCGATATTTACATTTGAATTTCGAGGTTACGTCATGTGACTTTCATCATCATGTGACGTCTGTGAAGGCAGTGATTACAATTCTGCCAAGGGAGGTAATCACTGTGAGGAGTTTGAGATAAAGCGTATAAAATGTTAAAATAAATGACTAATTCTAATTTTCAAGCTAGTATTTACTTTAAAATTAAAGTGTCGACTTTATCTACTGTCCAGGGTTAAAAAGACCATGTTTCGGATACCTTATTCAAGACCTTAAGGAAGTACAAGTTTCCATTTAAAGAAAGGAAATTTGCACATGATTATAAATGTTTGAACCTAACTTTGTTTAGGTGGGTAAAAATTTAAAATATACACAAAAATAAAAAAGATATTTAGAAAAAATAGTGATTTAGTGACGGAGTTATCTCTCCAACCAGTACTGTACCAGTGCGACATAAAACCCAATCAAACAAACTTTTACATACTAATGTGATTAGCTGGTGTCAGTTATAATCAGTTGTTGATTCTACTTCACAATTTCTTCTAAAAGCATCTCACCACTCATACCCCTACCTCCCCCATCCCAATTATATCTTTACAGAGCTTTGACATATTGCATAAGTAAAATAATGAACATTCTGTTCAAGTTCAGTAAATAGAGGATATTGAATGAGTGTAGGTTTAATACTAGATTTATTGAACGAGTTGAATAAAATCATATGCGAGCCTCTGGCGAGCATATTGTTTTATTCAACGAGTTCAATAAATTTAGTATTTAATCTACACAAATATAATATTCTATTTATCACATATATAAAATAAGAATGGTAAACTGTTAACAATAGTCACTTTTATTTGACATGCCTATAGTGTGACGCTAACATTAGCGCGCTTAAATAGCGCTATGTTTATAGCGCAAATGACGTCACATCAAAGTGTTAATACACTTGTGTAATATCGTATTTATTAAATGGCTTTATTACACTCCCTCGCCGCGGTTTATCTGATAAAACATTGTAAGACAAATGTATGTTATTAACTTAATCTTATTTGAACTACAATATTTTATTGTTTTTTTTCTATTTTATTGAATTATTTTAGGTGCTGGAGCAAGCAAAGTACGAAAATTGTTTCAAAACGCTCGCGAAAATGCTCCTTGTATTATTTACATTGATGAAATAGATGCAATTGGTAGGGTCAGGTCAGTACATGATATTTTAGTAATTATTTAAATACATGTTCTATATCTTAAACCATAGTGGTGGTAATAACAGGTATGTATTACCAGTACAGAGTCATGCAGCATTTATAATATCAAATATGGTAAACATTTGCTTAAAGTAATGTTTTATTTGTAATTGTTGCCGAAATCAGAATTTACTTAGTCAAACAAGAGTTAGAACTATAATGCTGTATAGTTTTGGAGGAATGACTTTGATAGCTGTAAAAGTACTTCGACATTTCAGGGAGCAGTCAAATCAGTCTAAAAACACTGCTTCGACATCTCAGGGGGCAGTCAAATCATTGTAAAAGTACTGCTTCGACATTTCAGGGGACATTCAAATCATTGTAAAAGTACTGCTTCGACATTTCAGGGGGCAGTCAAATCAGGCTAAAAATACTGCTTCGACATTTCGGGGGGCAGTCAAATCAGTCTAAAAACACTGCTTCGACATTTCAGGGGGCAGTCAAATCAGGCTAAAAATACTGCTTCGACATTTCAGGGGGCAGTCAAATCAGTCTAAAAACACTGCTTCGACATTTCAGGGGGCAGTCAAATCAGTCTAAAAACACTGCTTCGACATTTCAGGGGGCAGTCAAATCAGTCAGACGAACAATTGTTAAACCAGTTACTGACAGAGTTAGATGGTATGAATGAGAGAAAAGATGTAATTATCCTAGCATCAACAAATAGAGCTGATGTGCTTGACAAGGTATCTTATCTACTATTTGCACACTTTCAATATTTAAGCCTGTATGATCACGTGGTAAAGTTAGCAAAAGAGAATAGTAACTCTTTTTTTTTTGCAAAATAATGATAGCATGGAATGTAGCTTAGAAAACAACTAAAGAAAACAAAAGAAATGACTTGAAATGGTGAAAGGTCCAAAAACCTGTCAACTACAATATTTGATGCTTAGGAGCTGTATAAAACAAATACCCTATTATGTAAACTATGGGTATAGTTTGCTGCTGTTATTTTTGTAATCGATTTTCGTCTGCCGGCGTCCGTCCTTAAACTTTTACTTTCAACAGCATCTACTCTTAAACAACTAAGCCAAAGTTTCATCCAAACTTTACAGGAATGTTCCTGGGGTAGTCACCTTTGAAAATTGTTCAAAGAATCATATTCCATGCGGAACTCTGGTTGCCATGGCAACAGAAAGAAAAAACTCCTATTGAAAATCTCAAAGAGGTCCTTTGACTTAAAGATAAAAGAAAAACACACAGTTACAGAGATGGTTACAATGTGATACACAATTCACCAGCATTTGGCACAACTTACTTGGTCTGTTCTCACTGCATTTATTTCTATCATGTCATAGGTAATAATATTCCAGGCCAGGTTTACACAAGACCATTATATCAAGTGGTTCTAATAACTTAACCATAACCTGCTGAATTTCATAAATGGACTTGTCCAGCTTCCATTTTTGGAACTGTCCATTATCAATTTAGGTGATATCAAGATGAAGATATAATTATCAGCATATATTTTAGAGTCAGGACAGACTGGGTAGATGGACAGGCTGTCCTTGCTCAATATTGGTGGTAAATGCAAATCAGTATGGTAATAGTTAAGTGGTTTCAAACAAAAAAGGGATACGTGTTTTTGTAATCAAGCAAAACTAGGGTATATTACTAGGACAGATCAGTCTGGTGTGAGTGCAGAGTGGTCAGTAAGGGTACCATGTCAACATGGTTACCATGTTAAATATCTGTGTGTTTGACACATATAACCCAGTGCTGACAGTACAGATTGTTGTTAGCTTATATAACTCTTGTTTCTAGGTGAGGGTTATATTACAAACAAGGTCATATAACTTGGCAAAAGTCTATAATTATAACAAATTATATTTTAATGTAGTAATTATATATTACAAATACTGCATAATTTCTTTATTTGAGAAAAAAAACGTGACATCATAATGTCACAAAACATGATAACACAACACGTAGCTGTGTATATAACTGATATAAAATTAGCCGTGTCACGACAAAACCAACATAATGGGTTTGCGACCAGCATGGATCAAGACCAGCCTGCGCATCCGCTTACCAACTCTATTACAAGTAGAGAAACTGATAGCGAACAGCATGGATTCTGATCAGACTGCGCGGATGCACTATGTTGGTTTTGTCATGATGCGGCTCAAATGTAAAGCAATGTTACAAACATGTAGTAGTGTACTATTAACTATATATACACTGAAGGGCACCTGATCTCTTCCAACAGTAAAGCTGGAACGTCGCCATATGACCAATACTGTGTCGACGTAAAACCCAAACAGTCAAATATACTTTAATTATTGTATTTAATAAAACCTTAAATGAAACATATTCCTTTTCACTTGTATCTTTATACAGGCATTATTACGCCCCGGAAGATTTGATAGACATATAATGATAGACCTTCCCACGCTGTTGGAAAGAACAGAATTGTTTGAGCTTTATTTAAACAAACTAAAATTAAAGAGCCCAGTGTCAACATATGCCAATAAACTTGCCAAACTAACACCTGGTATGAGTGGTAAGTATACATTACTAGATAGCCGCGCCATGACAAAACCAACATAATGGGTTTGCGACCAACATGGGTCCACACCAGCCTGCGCATCTGCGCAGTCTGATCAGGATCCATGCTGTTCGCTTATAAACAGAGAAAACGATAGCGAACAGCATGGATCATGTACAGACTGTGCGGATGAGCAACATGTTGGTTATTTGATTAAGATAGTTATTAATGAAAGTCTTTATAATTTAAAAGGTGTTGAATTTGACCAGTGGTTTATTGGCAGCTGGTGAAAAAAAGCCTGGAGCAGATGACAGGTAACACATCAGACTTGTAATCTAAGACAGGAGTGATGGCTCCGTGGAGGGAAAAAAAAATATTTTTCTTTGAGCAATAAAGGGTACACTCATTGCTTAGTACTGCTGGATGGTTCAAAGAACAGATTGGAGTTTGCCTATTTGTTTATAGTATCCTTCACAAATGAATTGAAACAAATTCTGTATTAACTATATCTGGAAAATTGGGAGATCCACAGGGCGCAATGAAAAACATATATAGGTGAAAAATCACATACTTTAATCAAGTCTGCTTATGAATGAGGGTGAAAATTATAATATTTTGTTTGAAAAGTGTATATTGGTAAAATCTGTTATTGTTATATTTGTAGGAGCTGATATTTCTAATATATGTAATGAGGCAGCTATACATGCTGCAAGAGTTGGTAATACTGAAGTCTCAGCTTCTGATTTCGAATTTGCAATAGAAAGAATTATTGCTGGTGAGTTATAAACAGGTGGTCTGACATATTGACATTCTGCAATTTTTAGCGCATTTTCTTTTCACTCTATGCAGGGAGTCCTTGGCTGAGTGGTTAAGGTCCTTGACTTCAAACCACTTTCCCTTTACTGCTGTGGGTTCAAAACCTGACAGGTACTTTGGAGTCTTTCATGTGAGGAAGCTATCCAGCTAGCTTACAGTACGTCAGTGGTTATACTCGGGTGCCTATTTGTGCCTGAAATAATGTATGGGAGGGCACCATAGGTCTTCCTCCATCAGTAAAGCTGGAAAGTCACCATATGACCTATACTGTGCTGGTGCAAAATAAAACCCAACAAAAAGGAAATTCTCTCTATGTTGTTTTGATGAAAAAACAATAAA